GGCTTTTTTTTTTTTTTGAGGGTGAAAGATCTCTTCTCGTATCGATATTTATTTATTTTTTTTTTACTTTTTGATAGGGGTGTATTTGTGTATACATAAATAAAAAAAGGGAGAACGGGGGCGGGCTGGACGCAAAGGTCCATGGGCGTTCCGGATTTTTTGAAGTTTGCCGCGCGCACATCGCCCACGGCGTTGTGCAGAATTAAGAAGGGTGTGACCGCGGCCCCGCTTTGCTTTGACTTTGTTCTTATTGACGTCACCAATGTGTGTCAAACCATTGGCCTGGAAACCCTTGCGGAGTTCCTTATGCAGCCGCATCTGAAGGTGCGTCAAGCGGTTGTGTTTGCAATGGATGCACAGCGACACCGTGCCGGGACGTCAAGGAGTCAACGCACGCACGCCACAGTGCTGGACGCCGATGTCGCCGTTCAACGACTCTGTATTGCGCTACAGCAGCACTACAACAAAATTTCCACGGCCGATGCGCCGCGGCCGCAGATTCTTATCAGTGGCCGGCAGGTTGCAGGGGAGGCGGACTACAAGATCCTTGACCTTCAAAGACAACTTGTCACGCAGGCGTTTGCTGCAAAGGAAAAGTTGCCGACGTTTTGCTTCGTTTCAGAGGATTCGGACGTACTCTGTGGAGCCCTATGTGGACCCGCACCGCACACAGTGACCATTGCAACGAAGCTTCATGACACCATGCTTGAGATGTGTCTTTTGCGAGTCGCACACGTTTTGGCATATATTGCTCGGTGTGTGGACGCGTTTGCTGGGGGTGATGAGGGAGCAGAGGTGTCACCACAGACACAACAACAACAACGACAGCTCAATCTGGAAAGGGAGAGTGTGAAGAACGAGGGTGGAGAAGAAGAAAAGATTGTTCGCCGCCAAAAACAGGACGGACCGATGGTGGCGACTGGCACTTGCGTCGTGCTCAGTGACTCGGATGGTGACCCCAGTGATGTTGATGAGGAAGGGCCCGGGAATTGTGTGCCTTCCCCCATGCCCGCCATCACTGCACAAAACACCGCGGAGGCGGAGATCCTTCAGAATAGTTGCATAGATATGGTGTTTCTTTTTGTTGTTGTCATGGGTAACGGAAGTAGCGTCCCGCCTCTTGTTCGTGGGGCGACAAAGGTGGACATTCAATCTTGCTGGAAAGCGTATTGCCGGATGAAATACGACACCGCGGAATTGGGCCATGAAAAGGTGATGGGACGTTCGTTGCTTTCTCTCCATGACGTTTTGGCGCATCCAGAGAAGCAATCAAATGAAATTGCTGCAATTGCAGTTGACTGTTCCTTCTTGAGGGGCGTTCTGGAGACCGCACATTATGCCGATGCCCAGTCACGGCCTCCTGTTGAGGAAGAGAAGGAAAGAGCCCTGTTATTTCTCTCTCAGGCGGTGTACACCACATTCCATTATATTATCGCCTGCAATCTGCATCCTGGCTCCACAGTGGAGGACACCTTTTTAGATACGCGGTCTCTGCTGGAGAAGGAATTTGTTGTTCCAAGCCTTGCTGCCTTCTTGTGGGTACTTGGTCTGACCAGGAAGAGGACACTATACTTTCCTTTTGCAGGCTTGGCGAATGAGGCGGTGTTGTTAAATGCCACAAAGGGAATTTCGGCGGTTGGAGAGGCTGTTGCCGCCGCATGTTCCCGTAGAAAACACGCGGGGCAGAATGTTGTGCTGGAGTGGGATGTGGCAAACACTCTTGTGACATGCGGATCTGCGGGGTCGAGGAGGGTACGGCTGCAGAGCCTTCTCCCGAGATCGAAGCCAGACGCTCACAAAGGCATGGTGGCCTGCATCAACGAGTGCGCTGAGGGGCTCGCGAGAAACAGTGGCGATGCCGCCGGCAATGTTGTGCCTCAGAGAAATAAAGCCGCACTCTTTTCACGGCTTCTAATAGCATGGCGGAGCACGATGACATCATTCATGCCTGCGCTCGAGGTCATTGCACGCAAAGAAGATTTTACGCTTTTGCCAAAGAATAAAGATTCTTATGAAGGCGGCGGTGTGTTGGCGACGCAGGCCAATAACGTCAAATATTCGTACAGTTTTGAATTGAGACGCATGGCGCCGTTGCTTACGAGTTGTGAGAGGAAACACCAGATCAGCACGGCAACGAGCGCGGCTCTCCTGCGGGCGCTACGCGTATCGCACGATTATGAAAAGGCGCCGTCGGTGTCGGGGATATCGAGTGAAGTGACGGAGGGGAGGGATAGAAAACGGGGGCAGTTTGCCAAAAGCAATGCTCCGTCCACCCAAAAGGGATCCAAAACCGAAGGAGCGACGGAGGGCTTGACCAATGCCGAGAGGCGAGAAGGTCAGTCGGGGAAATACCGGCGTCCCGGAAAAAAGGAGCGTGAAAGGGCGAAGAGGGCAAGGGAGAACAATTAACGAGAGCACCCCATCGCCCTCCCTGTCCTCGTGCTTCTGTTTTCTTCTTTCCCTTCCCTGCTTTTTACATGCGATTAAAGGCAACATAAACCGAATACGACTGCTATTAAATAATAATAATAATAATAACAATAATGGTAGGAATGTGCTGTGGTCTCTGCGGCTCTCTCTCTCTCTCTCTGTGTGTGTGTGTGTGTGTGTGTGTGTATTTATTTATTCTTTATCGGTGGACTTTTTTGAATAAAAACGATACTTTCTTCACCTTGCTTACTCTCATTTGTTTTTAATTATTTTCGCTGCTGCGTGTAGCGCATGCACAGCAAGAGATCGCCTGTACCAAAGAACCCAATGGCACGCCCCACGGGGGTCACTGGGTCAGCCCTCACGGCACATTCTTTGGGAGGAGAAACTAGAAACGCCTCTACTGCTGGGAACACTTCTTTTCTTCCCTCGCGGCCATCGCACACTGAAGCACAACCGCGAGAGGATGAAGAAGACTTCTTCTCCCCAAGTGACTTGATTATCCCATTTCATCTAGACATTGCATCTCGCCTCATGGGGTTGCAGCATTCATCACCATTAGAGCGAAATGGAGAACCTTTGCAAAAGTCTGATGTCTTGGAATTGCAAATGGCCCTGGATGACTACGCTGAGGGTTTGGTTTACTCCACGAGACAGCTTTTTATGCATGACAATAGAAACATGGTACAGCAACTCCAGCAGGGGAAGGATGTATCAACCGTCTTGTTGTTTTTGCAGATGCAGCGGGAAATGCGACAACTTAACGGTGACGATTCCGCAGCCAAAGAGCGGGAACTCATTCAACGTCTCTCCGACCATCTGGAAGCGTAGCATTGGTAAATGTCTACGTGATAAAAGGTGGAGAAGAGGATGGTATCGTGTTACATTATTTAATTTATTCTTTATGGATATTGGGTTTGAATACCGCTCCCTTGTTCTTATTCACTGCATAAGCCACAACCTCCCACCATCATATGTCTGCTGTTTTTCCTTCTTTTCATATATAATTACTTCTTGCTTGTTGGATTGGGGAAAGGAGGGATTTCTTTGGAGACGGTTGTTCTTTTTCCTTTTCTTTCCTTTTTTTTTTTTTTTCTCCCTTCTGTGCGTTTCTTATTTTAACAGGAATAGAGGGTTAGGGTAAACAATTTTCCCCTGTTTGATCAGCCGCTTCGAGGAGAGAAAGGGAGAAAGAGGGAGAGGGGGGAGGAAGTTGTCGCGCGCAATGAACCTGACGGACGAGGATTCCTCCACTTACCACTCACACGGCGCGTGCACGCCAATTTCTCCCTCGAGAACACCCGAATGGCAGCCTGTCGCTCCGGAGCAAAATTTGGATGTTTTTCCTTCTTCTGCTTCTCCCGTTCGTAGTCTTTCGAGCTCGGTGTCTTCAACAGCGGAGACGCAGCGGAAGAAACAAGAGAGCCCCTCCGTTCGGTCGAATGACGGCGAAATTCATCAATTAGAATTTACAATGTACCCGCTGCCTGATTTGTCAACCCAGGGCCGGGAGTCGAGAAAGGCTGGACATTTGGGACTTTCAAATGGGGAGAGGACGGATGAGCATCCGCATTCAGGGGGGAACGACGATGGTACGTCATCTATAGAGTTTGCAATAGATGACGAGAGCTTCCGTGAATCCAAATCGCCCATATTGAGTGGCTTTCAATTTGTGCAAAATCCCTCCGTCACGTTTCGTGAAGCCAGTGTGCCGCCTCAGTGCAGTGGCGGTGATGGTGATGCGAAGCGCACTGCGGAACCCACCAATAAACACGGCACAAATTTGGCCAATGTCTACGAGAATAATAAATACACTCAACGGCGCGGCACTGAAACCAAAAAGAAGGCGAAAGAAGTGTTGAAAATCTCTCCTTGGCATCTAGAAGAAAAAACAATGAACACTTCTTTGCATACGGGGCAAGCGTCTGTGGAGAGTGGGAGCCTTCGTCATAGTGGTGAAACTGAAGGGGATATTCAAGGGGGAAATCGTTTACGGCGTAAGGAGAGAGTGGAGCCACGGTCCCAATGGAGTGGCCGGGGAAGTTACGCCTCCAGAAAGGGTGAAAGAAGGAGTAGCCACGACGAGAAAAGTAACTCGTCACTTCCTGCTATGTCCACGCGTAGTGCCTCAGATGATAACAGACCCCGGAGGAGACAAGTGTCTAATGGTACATCTTCTGTGCGCTCCCACTCCTCGGATTTCACCCCGAAGCGCAGTCTACGGGCTTCCCCTCGTCGTGGTAGGGCATTTCTTTATCCTTGCCGTGTACAAAACAGTGCCAGCATGCCCCGCACACAGTCCGCACCGTTGCGGGCTGTGGTTGCCAATAGTCCGGCGTTGGACCGGTTGAGACGGCGTCGTACGCTGGAGTCTCCACAGCGGGGGCGAATTAAAGAAAAGGAGGAAATTTTGGCCATGCTGGATGATGAGATGGAAAATATTTGCAATCAAGTTAGAGAGTACGACATGATAACAGAGTACGAGATGCTTCGAAGCCCGTTTGAGCGCTTGTATCACATGAACAACCGCCGTGATCGAGACGAACGCCGCTGTCGCATTTATCATTACATGAAGTTGGAGGAGGCCAAAAAGCGTTTGATGGCGGAGACAGAAGAAAGCGCAGCACGGCGTCGCGAGCGGCTGCTAAAACGCGAGCAGCGTCGCGAGGAATTGTTTGACCGTCTCTATTGCACGACCCCCAACCGGGTGAACAATAGTCAACTTAATTCTTTTCAAACCACACGAAGTGGAGCTACTGCTGTGAACAATGCCTTGTTTCAACGTCTCTATAACGAAGGCGTGCAATCCATGGCGGAGAAGCGGGAAAAGGCACGACGGGCAGAACTAAATCGTGAGCAGAAGGAGTTGGAGGAGGCGCTTCATGCCCGAATTCTCGCCCGACTAGAGTTAAATACACCACCGGGGCGGTTATTAACGCCGCGGGAGCGAGAGGTAGAAGCCGAGAAAATAAAACATAAACTTATCCAAGATCCCAACCAACTGCGGGAGTATCTCAAGACGAGTCGTCTCTCCAAGAAGGAGGAGGATGCAATGGCGTGGCGACTCTCTCGACAAGGGTACAATAGCGCTTCGAAACTTGCAAAACAAAAGGAGGAGAAGGAACTGCGGGGATGCACGTTTCATCCCACGACAAATAAGAATTTTATTATACGAGGTGGTTGGGCGGCTGCAAGGTACAGTAAGGCCACAGTGGCGTCTTTGTCGCGGGTGAAGAAAGACGAGTCCAAGCCGTCTCCAGCCAATTCTCCGCAAAGATCGGGATCTCGCGTTCAAAAAATGGCCTGTGAGCAATTATATATGAAGGCCCTTAAGCAGCGCGAGAGACAGAAGACTCTCGCTGAGGAGGCAGATAAGCAGAAGCGACTCTCACTCTTGAAAGCCAAGCTGAAGGAAGACCATCACTTTCGCCGACGCGTAGAATTAGATCCATCGTTGGCCCAAAGATTTATGGCCTCCTTGGTAGTGTAAAGGACGGTAGATTTGTACAATCTGTTTGGTGGCATTTGCTGTTTTTTTTTTTTTTCTTTCTTTTCTTTTTTGCCAAGCGGGATTTTGACACGGTGAAATATACGGCGTGTTATTTTTGCACTGACAGGGTTGGATGTCTTCTTTTTCGTGTTTTTTTTTTTTATTCTGTCCGCCTCCAAACCCCTTTTTATGCATGGATTTATTGTGCACCATTTGGTTCAATTGATTTTCTTTTGAAGCCCCGCATGCGCGTTGCAGAGAAGAGAAAAGTGGAAGGCAGGAAATATGATACAAACATTGAGTTTTTACACTTTTTCCCCGTTTTTTTTTTTTTTAAGGTGAAGTGTTCATGTCAAAGGAGGGAGGAAGGGAGGGATTATCGCGTCTGGCAAATATTTGTTTGGGTGGTTTTGTGCATGCATGAAGGCGATCGTGTGATACACTGTTTCTCTTATTATTATTTTATTTTTTTTTTCTTTTCTTTTTTTTTTTTGTGTGTGTGGGGTGTAAGGGCTGCTTGTAGGATACCGAGCGCAACAAGTGTTGTTTAATATGAGGAGTTGGTCCGGGTTGCATGCGTTCATTTTACCGGCGCAATGTTGTCGGGCTCGCAGGAATGGGGCAACACTGTCGCAGCGCTATGGGTGCTGTGGGCAGCGCGAAACGGTTCCCACGACGACTGCATCGACAACTGTCTCGCGAACGCATCGGGACCCAATGGCAACACTGACGGATATCTTTAGGGCTCATCCGTCTGCGCTTCGCTTGCATCGAGAGCTGACAATTTGTGTCGCGAACGGGGAAGCGGAAAGGGCGGCGGACCTTGCGTACGTACTCGCGGAAACGGTCAAACGTGTCTGCAACCAAATGGGAAGCGGGGCGGAACAGAACACAAAATTGACATCTTCTCCCACACCCGCTGACTCTTCTGCGGCAGAAGCAGGAATTGTTGCGAAGGAGTACATGCCTCCCATGGGGCCGGAGGACGTTGAACTTTCCATGGAAACGACGCGGCGTCGTGTACTTGAGGAGAATTCTGGCGACGTTGCTGAAGCTTTTATCAAGGGGGAGAGCGAGAATACTTCTTCAGGGAACGCACACCCTGCCTTGTGTGATAACCCGCTCTTCTGGAAGCAGCCGACAGCGTTGCGTGTAACGCTGCTGGAGGCCGCCTTTGAGTTGACGCTACCCGATGGCGGTGATGCCGATAATCCACTTAGCCCAAGAAGCACGGAAGTGGAGGAACACGAAAAGAGGAATATGATGCTCCTGGACGAATATTTGACGCGAGAGAAGAAACGTTGGGAAATGCAAAAGGGAGCTATTGGACGTGCTGTGCTCACGACGGCGCAACAGCTTGGTGTCACGCCAGAGGATCTTCACAGTGTACTGGAGGAGACGGATAGCACCAGACATGTTTCGGGCCAAGATGGGTGTCTCCGTGTCCTGAAGCACTGCAACTTAATCATACGGGGTGAAGCACCAGAGGTGGAGCTTATGGCGAAGAATACGGCCGGAAGTGTGCGGGCAGCGGCTGAGGAGGAGCTTGAGGTACTTGTAAGCCGTATGGAGAGAAGTGGCTCCCCGCTCACGCCCCAAGAGAGGGAGTTGGCGCTCTTTGAGCTTGTCATGACAAAGAGTAAAATGAGGTACGTTGTTGGCCTCCATCGCGATTTGCAGATGGCTTTGGATGCGTCTGAGAATCTTCGACGAGCGGCTTCACAAAAGCAACTTCCCTCCGGTTCGGAAGTCTTTACGCAGAAGGTAGTCGAGAGACTCAACAAAGTTGCGGCGGATGGCAGCGAGACGAGTGCAGAAGATGTGGAGCTGATCGAGTCTCTTTCTGCCCCGGTGCTGCCTTTTACTTTTATGCTGAAGATGTGCCTGTGGTTTGACGTCCCTCGAGATGGGTGAAGCAGCCCGCATGCCACATCTTTGAAGGGACAGGGCGGCAAGAATAATGAAAGTTGTGTACAATTTCCGCCTTGTATTCCTAATCTTCTTATTATTATTTTTTATTACTTGCTTCGTGATGGTGTTGCTGTTGTCTAACAGATCTTCTTCGATGCAGTTATTTTCGGGTCTCTGTTTGTCTTTGATCTGTTGTTTTGTGCGGAAACTTTTCTGTTGTTGTCTTTTTTTCTTTTCCTTACCCTCACTTCTTTTTTTTTTTTTTTTCCTTCTATCGCCGGGAGATAACACCGCCGTGACGTGCGACTGCGTGTGTGTTTGTGTGGAGAGAGAGAGAGAGAGGGTGCGGCCTCTCCCTGTTTTTTATGCAATTTTGTGCCCCACTCCCCCCAAAACAACAACAACAAAATTTATTATTTTTTTTTTTTGTTTTCTTTGGCAGAACAGATTTGATTGGCCAACATGTTGCATAGGCGTAGAACGTCTGTAGGCATTCGGAGGGGGAACACGGCCGATGAGGTGAAAATAGCTGCGCTTCGTGGGGCGATTTTGCCCGAGATGAACAACGGCCTGCAGCGAGTTGGTCACACGATTGTCGTCTACAAGCAAGACTTGTACCTTTACGGCGGCTACGGGCCTAAAAATACCTACTCAAGTTGCATCTTTTGTAACGTTAAAATGACCTTGCAATGGAAAGAAATTCGTGGTGTCGGTGTGGTTCCAAGTGGGCGTGCCAACCACAGTGCCATCATGCACGAAAAGAGGATGATTATTTTTGGAGGGCACCGAAATTTAGAGGTTTTTGACGATATGTACCTTGTTAACCTTGAAACAATGAGGTGGGAGAAGGTCAACTACGAGCGAGCTCAGGGGCCTGGTCCTGTTTTTTCACATGCGGCGGTGTACGTGCCGCCCACTCAGACAATGATCGTTATTGGAGGATTTCATCAGCGTCAGCATAACATGTACATTGCACATTCCTTTGATATTAGACACCGAGTGTGGACTGGAATTCGTGGACCGGACTCTGTGGACCCGCTTCATGTTCAAATGTGTTGTGCGGCGTATAACACTTCTTCAAGCTCCATTATTGTCGTTGGGCTTGTGGAGAGGGATGTCTTGCTGAGTTCTTCCCGTGAAATACCCAGTGTGTTCAAGATGAATGTTCATTCCGGGGTGTGGGTGGAGGTCAATACGCCAGTCTCCCTGGATTCCCCTATCCCTTTCCGCATCAGTGGCGTGTGGGATTATTTTCTCCGGGAAATGATTAGTATGGGGGGCGTCTATGAGGATTTGTGCGAGGAGTGGTTTTTCCCACTGGTTTTAGCCCCTATTGAGAATTTTATCTTTCGGAAGAAATTGGAAAGGATTTCTTCTGGAGCAGCGACCGATACGAAAACGCGGTCAAGGACAAGGATGGCCAGCTACGGGTTTTTCAGGCTGCAGTTGTGTGATATGACGTGGTCCATCATCCCCGTAAATTTCCCCAGGCGTGTGGTGTCGGAATTGACAGCGCGCAGGGCTTCAAGGTCCGGCTCCTTGGCAAACCCACAACCATTTAGCAGACGGCCCAAGAAAGTTCCCCTGCGGGAGAATAAACGAACAATCCCGTTCTTTTCGGTCGGGGGTGTTTCACGTTTTCAGCGGAAGTACGCCTTCGCGGTGACGGACGCCTCCGATACGCGCGAAGGACGTACCGGCTCAAAACTCATCGCCATGCACGGTGGCGTTACTACGGAGGATTACGTTATGTTTCTTTTCACCCCGATCTTAAAGAAGCGAACGACGTCCGTTCCCACCTCTTCAGACTCTTTTTTTACCATCAGTGAAGCCGATTCGTGTACCTACTCACAATACTCACGTTGTGGCGGCAGCACGGATCAGTCCAGCATGGGGTGGGATGATGATCAAAGTTTCTCTGGGAGCGATATTTTTCGCATTATCTCAGGCGAAAAGAAAGTGGAGAAATTGTCCTCCCGTGACGATATTGCGGATTCCAACATCATGGTGGGCCGAGCGCATCGCATCGGGAGTGACCCCACCCTGCTGCCGCTGCTGCCAAGCATCCGTGATTATAAAAATTCGCAGCGCTTCGCGCTCCTCTATCATCCTTTGAGTGCCGTTCATAGTGAGAAACTTTTGCCCGATCCGACATGCCCTGTCGCCGTGCTGAGCAACGAATCCGAAGTGAAGACATGGGCGGAGAACTTCTACGCGGGGACGAGGCAGTGGATCGCCGCGAAACTGGATGTGACGCGGAGGGAAGAAAAGGGAGCACGTCGCAAGAAAAAGGGAAAGGAATCCTCTCGGACAGCGATGGAGGAGAGTGACGAAATTTCCTCCAGCAGCGAATCGGAGAAGACGAAAGACTCGGGTGGAACACAGCTGTCGATCATGCCATCACCCTTGTACTCAACGACGGTGCAATCGTCCGTGACGAAGCCGAAGGACTTTTTTCTTGACAAAAATTTGGAGGTTTTTGATTTTAACAACTTAGAGGTTCGAAGGACATCGTATAACAAAAATTCACCCTTTCTATTGCCTGGTGAGATGCCTGAGAAATTTAGTAGGCTGCGTATGTCAGCTAGGCGGAGACAAGCGGTTCAACGAACTCCCTCGACAGTGTTTCAGCGATTCTCTCTGGGGCATATCACAGATGATGGTGGAACCACTGCGTTTCTCCTCATGACTTCTGCTCTCGCGCGCTTTAATGACGGGTCGTATGAGTCGGCACGGCAAAGGGCACTTATTCGATGGCGGTATCTTCGTGTGATGGTACTGAACGGTGAGGCGTACTTCATTATGCATCGAGTTAACCAAGAAGAGACAAGAGTGCGTGGGGTTGACGTTTCAACCACTTCAATGCTTACACTCGCACCGGAATTACGCACCAAAGGGTTGAATAGTAACAAAGTTTTTACCAGACCCATCCCATATACCGTCCCAGCTAAGTCCAGCATTGCACTTCGGTCATCTGAAGTTACACCAAGCGGACTTGTGGCGTATCACTGCATCAACAATATCAAATAAAGACTGCAAATGAAAGTTGTTTGATATTCCTTGTGAAGGCATTGCTCAACGTGTGTGTTTCCCCTTGTATGTATTTAATTACTCCAAATGTAAATATGCACTCGTATTAACACTATTACGTGGAGGGGAAAAAAGGATATGATATTTTTTGTTTTCTCTCATTTTACAAGAGAATTGGACTTCTGTAATGGATACATATATTTATGTCGGCTCTATGTGGCATTGAAGTTCTTATTACTTAACAGTGCCGTGTGATTTTGGGGGCGGAGGAATGAAACACAAACACACACACACAAAAAAAAAAAAACGGACATACATACATACACGCAAAGAAAAAGCATATTTTTTTCATTATTTAAGGCACTTTACCCCCCAAATTATCATTATACTCTCTATTATTACTTTCCATCCTCACCTTATTTTTTCTTTCTTCTTTCTTTTTTTCCCACGTGTATCATGCGGAATCCCAAAAGGGAGAAAAGAGTTGTTGTAATTATCTACGTATTCAGCGTTGCATAGATACTTATTTACATAGATATAATAATATATATATATATATATATATATATATTGCTTCAGCTTGCATGGCTGCCATGGCTCACAACAGGTTAAGCTTGGAAAGCGAAAAGGTCAATGCCCCTTTGGCAAACCGCCTGCCAAAGTTAAACCCTGAACGTCAAGAGACACCTGAGCCAATTGAAGAGCCCGTGACACCGGTGCGATCAGCTCGACGGGGATTACGGTTGGATTTTCCGACAAACTCTCATCCCTTTTCCGATTCGCCGATGCGCGAGTCAATGCGAGCAGCACGTGGCAGTCACGTTATTCAAGCTGACAGGATTGGCATAAGTGAAGATTACCATTTCCCCTTTTATAGGGGGAGTTATAGGAGGTCCGGGCTACTCAGCAAGAGTCATTCTAACTCTTCAACTCCTCATCGACGTCCAAGTCGAGCGGTTTCGTTTTCATCTCGGAGAAGGGAGACAATTGATACTTTCGAAAACGCCTCCCGTAGCCCATATGTGGCCCCATTGATTATTTCTGATAATGAGTGGCCTTTCAAAATAAGCAGCAGCCGCAAAACGCCCCATCGTAAACACGAAGAAACACTTGAGTCGATGCGAATGCGAACAAATTCTGTTCCTATATCCTCTTTCCGCGACAGTCCTCATTGTTCGGGGAACTTCTCAAGTTCGCATCGGCACAGTTTTTTTGTCTATACTGAGGCAGACGAGAGGAAAGAGGTGGGAACGGAATGGAGGACATTTGTGTCAAACGTGTTCCCACCGCGTGATTCGTCGGAATCCGCCAGCGGTGCAAGGAGATCACAAGTTTTCAGGAGAACACCTTCCAGAAGCAAAGAAACGGGGCGACATGCAACACCGGAAAGAGTTCTATTTCGTCTCAACGAGTCCGAAGCCATTCGTGTTTTGGACCATGCGGAGATCTTGACAGGGAAGAGCGAAATGCCGACGCCGGATTTGTCTGTGCCCAACGCATGGGGTTCAGGACTGGTCCCTCTTCGGACGCATGAAGTTATTCTACCAGAGAGGACCAAAAAGAAGACCGTGGGCGAAAAAATGGCTTCTACCGTGAACGAAAATGTAAGATCTCAAGCCGAAATCAACGTGGGGACATCAGCTCCGACGGGCGACGACTCCCCTCCTCCTGTTGAAATTGATCGTGGAGGGAAAAATGCGGACAATACGACTTACCCAAACGTCAGCGGCCACAGTCCCAACACTGCCCCCATTCCAATTACTGGGTTAAGGGCGGATGGCGGTGCATCGAGTCGTGGCTCGCTGGATGGCAAAAGCGATCCGAAAGGGAGGTCGGATAAACTTTCACCTAATTCGACCGTGCCCGCCAAAGCGGGTACGAAAGAAATGGAGGCTGTTGGAAGTACTACGGCGGGTGCATCGAAACCAGCGCGTCAGGGAGTTTCATCCTTTTCTCTTCCCAAAATGAATGAACTCCATTCGAAGGTTATGGAGAAACTTTCCGATAAGATGAATGAGTTGCGTGGAGAAAATGCCGCGCCGGGGAGAGAAATCCTGGCGACTCACATCCATTCTAAAGAGAAAGTGCCAACCTCTGCGCTTCCTGATGGAGAAGAACGTCTGGATCCATCCATGGCAATAGGATTTGTGGCTGGGGACAGTGCTGTGTCGGGAATCACAGTTACAGCAGGTGAGGGTGAGGAACATCTCGTTGGTTTAACTCTCGAAGAGCCCTTAGAAGCCGCTGTTTCTTCCGTGAGCACTTTCTTGAGGAAATTGCTTTCCTCCTCGAGTGACAACAAACGGGAGCTCTTTGAGTTGCCAACGGCCGATATCATGGTAAGCTGCCTCCTGGAGTTTTAAACGTGGGACCCCGGCATGAGTAGCAGCAGCGAAGTCTAGGGACAAAAAAAAAACAAAAACAAAAACAAATGGGTAGAAAACGCCCGAGGCGAAGATGTCTTTTGTTTTTTATTTTTTGGGTGTTTTTTCTTTCTTTTTTTTTTTTTTTTAATTTTTATGGAGGGGTAGAGAAAAAACAAACCGAAAAAATAATAATAATAATAAATGGGAAGGAGGGGGAATGGAAAAAGGGGAGAATGGGGGTGGGGAATTTATTGGTGCATATTTATTTTGACTGACGGGTGTAAATTCTTGTCATTGTAGCATGAAACCAAAAGGACCAATTGTTTTATTTTGTTTGGGAGTATTGTGAATACATACATATGTGTGTGTGTGTGTACTGTATTACTTATTTTCCCTTTTTTTGTGGCCTGCGGGATGAGAGAATACTTAAAGACGATGCAGTTATTATTATTATTTTATTTTATTTTTTTTTGCCCGCTTTATTTTACATCGTTTATTTATTTATTTATTATTTATTGTTGTTTGGTTGGTTGTTTCCCTTCTTGACGTGGGCTGTTGGCTGGTTCTTGCTGCAACGGAGCCTCCTTTTGTTGAAGAGGAGAATCCCTTCCTCTCCTCATGCCGTTTTTGTTGTTGTTGTTGTTTTTTGTCTTTCCCCGCAAAAAAATATATATTGGGAAATGCGTCTTCGTTACTCGACATGTCTCTTCCAGCGATGATAACTGATAGTGGACTTTTCTCTTTCACGTTTGCGCGGGGAAAGGGAGAACGGTGTTGTGGCGGGTTGTAATCCAGAACATATTGACATTGTGATGACGCATGAGAGGGAAGCATGAACTATGTTATGATAGCTTAAGCAGACACATAATGAAACAGTAATAATATATATATATAAAGACGGCGTGTTCTTTCACCATTCTCTGTCATAGTCTTCTTTTATTATTGACTGCGGCGTTTTACTTTCCTTTCTCTCTCTCTTTTTTTTTTTTTTTTTTTGCTGGGTGTTGTATGTTGTTGTTGTTGTTGTTGTTGTTGCTCCTTGTTCTCCGTTGGACAGGGGGTTAGGTTATGGTTAGGCATGGAGAGGGGACTTTTGGTTATAATGGCACTCCCGCCCCTCTGCCTCTCTTTTACTTTTATTTTTATTGAATTACGGACTGACTGGTGGGTTGAGGAACACATAACATTGCAAAAATATGCGTCTCAATTTTTGCGCTTTTATTGACATTTTGATGTCAAATTCTCTGTATAACTGTTTACCCGTTGTCGTTTTTGTTGCTGCCTTTTAAACGTCAAGGATTGCCACCAATCTATTTACTTTGTGCTGCAACAGCCGCCATTTACGCGTTGGCAAGGGGGACTTGGAAGATCCTCGTAGCACTGCCAAAAGAGGTATTCCACACACCCATGCGGAACACGGCCGGTGCTCTGCCCTTAGAAACTCGCGCGGCAGCTGCACTCATGGATGCCAGGGGACGTTTAGCACCTGCCACTCCATCCAACACAAAGCCAAATGCCACAATGCCTGCTGCTACGGCTGCTGCACGGCAAGTCTCCACAGATGGAGGAGTTGGTGCGGCCTGTGCGGCAGCGCAGGGCGACCCGCCGATCAGTCGATGGCGACTCGCACGAGACGCAGCAAAAAAGGGCCTGAGCTCAACGGAAACTCGGGGATCATCTCCCCCTGCTGCACAGAACAAAAGTGATCAAGTATTACCATCTGACAAGAACGCAGCAACGCGACAATTTCCTTCCAAGCCAACTGGAACCTCTCGTGGAAATTACACAAGTGCTGCAGTCCCATCCACACAGCCCACTGCAGTGGCCGGTGCAGCGGCGCAGGAAGGTGATCCGCCGATCAGTCGATGGCGACTCGCACGAGACGCTTTGGGGGGGAAGTTTTCACCACACACAGGAACTTTGCCACCAAAAGGAGTTTCCATGGCTTCTGGTGTGGAGTCAGCGGCTAGTAGACCGGTGGAACCGAGGAAGCTTGTAGGAGAAAAGAGCGGCACGGATCGGAGAGAGGATAGAACTTCTCCGCCTTCTGTGCGAGCGCCAGCATCGAATCCATCAGAAGAAAAGAAGGGCAATTTCTCCTCCACGCAGCTCTCTCGTCAGAGAATTTCAGCGGGAGGTAACGCGGAGAATTTGCGGCCATCGAGAGTGGCCACCACAAGTACGCCGGAGGAAGAGAAAATGCCGGTTAAATGTTTTGGTGTGAAAGGGGGGAATCCGACATACGTTTCCGCGAGCGGCAATAAAGACAATGAGCGCCCATTCAGCGTTTCTCCCGCTCGCGGAAAACCCTCCTCGTGGACAGGGCCTCGTGAAAACACCTCCGTCAATAATACTGTTGGGAATCCTTTCACGATGGACCCTTCAATGGGGAAAAATCCGTCACCACAGGCATCTAACGATGAACAAGTCGAATGGAGAAGAGATGCTGTTTCTGGTTTACGGCATGGTCGGATGAGTCCTTGGCGATCATCCATTGGAACCCCCTACGCGGCACCCCGGAGCAATGCGACTCGTGCACGTTCGCAGCCAGTTTCCATTTCTCGTTCTCGACCTCCTGAGAATGAGGAGCTTATGCGGTTTCTTGGTGCCTACGGTACCCCACCGAGGCGTTCCACCGGCGTTTTTCCGCCGCAGCAGATGGATGAACACCCAATAGAGTTGAGAGGGCCTCTTATTCCCACTTCTCCATACGCCGTGGCACGTCGCAGTCTGCGTACAACAACGCCACCAAATAAGTATCGTCTTCTTGACGGAGGTGAAGACGACTATGATGAAAGCTCAAAAGTGATAGAAGAAGAACTTTCAAGTCTTTTGAATGGACTGGAAGCATATCAAAAACGGTTAGAGCGGGCAGCACTTGTGGTTAGCTTGGAGAGACAACGTCGGAGACGTCACTGAAAGCCCTACGCTTTTTTTAAGAGGAAAATATGTATCCGTCTGTTTTTTTTTTTTTTGTTCCTGTAATTCAACTGTCGCATGTAGGCCTCCATCCATCCATCTCTCTCTCTCTCTTCTCTCTCTTTCTGTGCGCGTATTTGTTGTTGTTGTGTATGTTTTGTGTGTGTGCGTCTGTGTGGGCTGCCATCACCTTTTCGGGGATGCACCGAGAGAGTGAATGGATGAGAGGTGGGGAGGTTTGGTGGCGAGGCATAGCTGTAAAATTGGTTACAGATTTGGCTTCTCCCTCCTTTTGTCCGCATCTCCGTCGTAGCACGCTAGTAATGATGGAAGCACCATGAAAAGTGAAAAGAAGAAACGGAGAAGCACTAAAATGGAGGCTTCTCCGTTGTCCATTGTTTGCATTCCCTCTGTCTTAGTTGTTTTGTCACCCCACGCCTTATTTTATTTGCTACAACCAGGCAGGGAAAAAAGTAAAAATGTGGTTGTCGCTTTTATTTTATCATTGCCTTTCACCCAGTTGTAGCCATCGAAGCGCTAAAGTAAGATCTGAAAAAAGAATTAAAGAAAAAAAAAAGAAGGGATGATCTTATAAATTTTGCCTGGTGCATTGCATTATGGTTTTATGCGTGTTCCTTGAAATTGTGTGTTTTTGCGTGTGCGGTTGGGTGGTGGGAAGAGAAATTTCTGTAGGACAAGGGAATAAAAGGAATTGAGGGAGTTTCATGGCTTTTGTGGAGTGTGAAGAAAGTTTTGGCTGGATTTTATTTATTTGGGAAGGAAGAGGAGAAGGAGAAGGAGAAGGGCAATTTTATGTACGTATGTATGCAATTTTTTTTTTTTTTTTTTTTTTTTTTTTGAGCGAGGTTTGGGTTTCTTCCACTCCTCTCGTATTGTACCACACTTTTTTTTTTTCTTTTTCCCTGCCCTGTATTTGTGTCCCTTCTTTTCTTTGGTTTATTTTGCTCTACACGTTACTTTGTTTTTCTTTTTTTTTTTTTTTCCTTCCTTCTTTCTTTGTATGTGGGTGTTTGTCGTGTTTTTGTTACTTCTTTTTGTTGTTGTTCATACGCCTTTGTTTCCTCTTGTTTTGGGTGTGTTTTCTCACGAAGGGGAAATTGCCGCCTGCGTGCGAGAAGGACGGGATTGGATGAGTGGGATGGGGACGGCGTTGGATGCCAGCGACCAGGCAGCACTTACCCGCATGTACGTCAAGCAGCACAAGCTCAATGAGATTTTTGCGCACTTTCTGCAGTTACTGATTTATCACAAGCCGGAAAACCCTCGTGCCTTCCTGCAGCGAGAGATCCGGCTCATGATAGCCACGAAGACATCGACGCCACTCTTTGGGGAGCAGGATCTTGAAACGATGTTCGATCTCATAGATGTGACGAAGCAGCGCTGGGTGACGGTCAGCCAACTACGGAATACATGCAAGAACTTAGCAACAGCTGCCGGAGAAGGAAGTATTGGCCTTTCTCCTGCTCAGGAGGAGGCGATTGAGCATGCGGCCGATGAAGAGGGGCATGTATCAGTGGAGAAGTTTAAGGAGGTGTTGGCGATGCAGCTTCTCACCAGAGACATCTGGAAAGACTGAATTACGATGGAAGGAGAACGGAAATTGGAAAGAGAAGATGAGGATGAATAATTGTGTATTATTATTAGCCGCTAAATGAATCATGTATATAACAAGTGTCACCTCTTTTTTTTTTTCTTTTTTTTGAGCAGGAAGCGGACCGTGGTTAAAGTGATTACTCTTTTCTGTTGAATTCTTTTGCCCTTTTCATTTTTATCATGTACTCTTCTTCTGTGCTTTTGTTCCTTCTGACGGGGAAAAACTCCCACGTGACAGTGAAAGGTGGAGGGCGTTCCCCATCCCCTTTGCGTCCCTTTCTCTCAGCTTTGTATTGTCTAGGAATAAATAGTCATACACACAGAGAGACAAATAAACGTTGCAGTGATACTCGACCCCCGGAGGTGACGAGGAACAGGGGAGGGAAAGAGAGAGACGTTCCTAATTCGGGGGTATTTATTCTGTTTGAATTCCTCCGTTGACCGTGTGTCCCTCTCCCTGTTCATTTTTTTTTTGTTGTTGTTCTGTTATTTCCGTGTGGAGTACGAGGCGAAGAAAGGAGAAGGAGAGATATCGTTTGCTGCAGGGTTAGTGTGTATTATTGCGTAGCATGTTGGAAAAGCAACTTTCTGTCCTTCTGGCAACATATCTCAATCGCTTTATCTGTGATCTCAATGAGGAGCAACTGCGTGTCTCCCTTTGGTCCGGTGACTTGGTACTGCGTGATCTGGAGCTGCGAACGAACATCATTGACCAGATCATTCTTTTCCTCTTTCAGGGTCGGCAGGAGGGCGGAGGCCACGAGGAGGCGGCGGGCGGTGATGCCGCAAAGGCGGTGGCGCAGGCACTCATGACGCCCTTCACAGTTGTCAAGGGACTAGTGAAGAAGTTGACGATCAGTGTTCCGTGGTCTGCCATTGATCGCGAGCCAATCAGTGTGGAGGTTCATGGGGTGGAGATTCTCTTTGGCCTTTTGCGTGGAAGGCCACACAACGCCGATGAGGATGCCGCCCGCGTTATGGTGGTGAAGCAAAAACAGTTGCATATGTTTGAATTGGGAAGATTAGACGGTCGAACGGAAGGCCATGCAGTTGCGACGGGCGCCGCTCTTAAATCCGACACCGGAGGTGGGACAAAAAAAAATCTCTCTTACGTTGAGAAACTCATCGAGACAATCAAAAGAAATATCCATGTCGTGATGCGCGATGTATCCTTGAACTACGTTGTGAGCTATCACGGTCTCGCTCCGTGTTTTAAATGTGCGCTTCGCGTATCGTTGGATTACATGTGCGTCACCGCAACGGATGAGGAGTGGGAGGATCGTTTTGTCATGGACCTGTCAATGCCCTACCGCAAGAAATTGGTGATGACCGGGCTGCGGGTTTCAGTCCATGCAATAGAAAAACAGCACGCTGAGGAGGCGGAGACTCCGGGCGATGAATCGTCAAAGTGGCAGAGGGAGATGGATATCGTTGAGGTGGAGGATCTCACAATGTGCCTCCAATTATCAGGAGGCAAAGAGAGCGCAGATATTGAGTTGGATGCCGCGGAGCAATCTGTGATTTCTGTGAAAACAACTGCTCCCATCCGGCTTCGAGCATCTTTTGGAGTAATTGGGTTTTTAGCCATCATCAATGATTCACTCAAAAATGGTTTACTGGGGTTGAACTACAGGCAACACCTTCACTTCCTTGCCAAAGGTAACGAGGAGAACCTAAAGTGGACGCAGCGACGCTGGAAATTTGCCCTTTGTTGCGTCATGGACGACGTCAGAAGATCCAAAAACAAAACAAAAGGACATCAGCGTTTCATTGAAGGTGTTGTTCTCTTTGGCAAACGTCGAAGGGAGTATTGTGCGTTATGGAAGAGATGCCAGGGGGTGGAGTGGCTTCCACCCCTTACATCGGACGAAAAGGATAATCTGGATACTCTGGAGGAAATCCTTACAGTGGAGCAAATTGTGTTTTTGCGGTGCCTGGCGTATGCTGATCTGAGTAGGGAACGGCAATCCATGAGGCAACAAAAGTTGTACATTGAGGATGTAAAGAAGCGAAGGGAGATAAAAAAACAGAGCGTTGAATCAGCTGGCAGCCGGTGGTGGTGGTGGTGGCGGCTTAGGCAGGGGAAGGTCCATGAAAGCGCCACCGTGAGTGAGGCAAATGAAACTGAAGGTGTGGCAGGTGGATTTGAGGCGGAATGGGAATTTGGTTACAATTTTCTTCAGTACATTGCGACAAGACATGTGGTGGGAAATTCTATGAAATCATCATTATCTTCGTGTTCGCCATCAACAGCTACCATGGCGTCTACGAAACCCGTTCTCATTGACGCGCAGTTTCCACAGGTAGATGTGGAGTTTGAGCCACACGCCTGGAGGAGCGACCTGACTGAAAAGAAGCCTCTTCTCTCATACCTGGAGAATCTGCAGCAAAATCTAAATGCCCGCCTCAATTCTGTGGTTTTTAAATACACTTTAACTTCAACTCCACAAGAACAGCTTGTTGGATTCAGCCTGTCCGTTGAAAGTGCTTCTGTGGGCTTTACCGGATCCTTGCCATCCGCTGTACTATACACACGTGAGGTGTGTGAAGGGAAAAAGAGGGGAAAGGACGTCGGTGATAGAAATTTTGTGCGTGAGCCTTGGTTGTCCATCAGTGTCAATGAAACGCATTCCATGTTAAGTGCTTTTATCACCAGCACCTCTCTAACTCTTCAGCCATGGTGTGAATTGCAGTGGTGGATGGCCGGTGTTCAACATTTTCTGGCAGTGCTGCCAGAATACACGAAGCAGGAATTCAGCTCTCCCTGTGAAGTGCCCAATTCGCACAGCCGCTTATCATCTTTGCCTACAATGGATATTAACTTTGCTGAAGTTTTTCTTACCGTACCTTTGTTTAGTGCATACGGGAACGAGAGGAAGCTGGTTGTTCACGCCCCCGACATTCATCTATCCACTGTAAGCGAGAAGAAAGAGGGGCAGAATGATCAGCATCGGCTCATACGAGAGCCTCCTCCCATTGTGGGCTTGCATTTCTTTGTGGGTGAAGAAGAACCAGTGCGACTTTACTGCGAGGGCATTGGTGACATTTTGGTGTTATCCTACGTAAGGGTGGACGTGGCATCCGCTGAGCAGTTGAGTGCTGAGGTGAGTACGCGTGCCAAGTTGGCAATTGCCCCCAGCGTGCTTGGACTCATTAATAACCACATGGAATTTTTTGAGGTTTCACAGGGAGATGTTGGAGAATCTCTTCTTTGTGAAGTTATGAACAACAATGGGAAGTGGTGCCTGGAGTCAAACAATGCGCTTTCTGTTGGAGGCACCATCATGACGTTTCCAGGAGCCCGATGCCGCAGTTTCCTCCGACTGCTCCACCAGTCAGCTTTCGCACGAGGAGTGGACCACAGAGAAAGGACCGCGCCGTCTGCTGCTGAAGCCACATCGCCACTGTTGCACCGTTTGGTTTTACGTATTGACTTTGCACATGCAACTTTGCGTAACACGAACAACGAGGACGTTGTGGAAGTGGAACTGCCGGGGGTGGAAAACTCAGGCTATGAAGAGGCATCTTCATTCGGATCTCTTCCGTCAAAAGATGCGTTTGTACTAGATATGACATACTCCGTTATGAACGGTTACAACAGCTTGATTTGCCTACCGGATGTACATGTCACGGCCCCTTCGGGCCAACACGTATTTGTGCTTGAAGGTCTGAGAGTCATGTATAGCACTACCACCTTGCTGGCTTCTGTGGAAGCCGAGGTGCTGGACATACGGGTCTGTCAGTCTCTTGTTGATTGTGTGGAACTGTTGCTGATGTCCTGTGCCTCATGGCAAACTACTCCGTCCTCCGATTTGTTGACGCGTCCCAGCCTGGAGGAAAATCCAGGCGTGACCGTTTTGTCAGGCTCTGCCGCAAACACTGGCCAGGTCATAGAGATGAGTATAAAACGGTTGAGCCTTTGCTTTCAGTTTCACCAGACGGAGGAGTGTGTTGCCGTGCACCTGAACGAATTGTTACTCCGTGCTGATAGCTCGTGTGGTGGTCAAAATTTAAAACTACAGGGTTCTCTTGATAGGGTGGAGTACATTGCGGAGGACGCGGAGGGTGTGAAAACATTTACGCTTCTTGCGTCCAGCACCGGCCTTCTGGGAAGCGTAGAGGCCCCTTCCTTCACGTGTACCGTGGAGAGCACGACCGTCGCGGGCGGTGGCGTTGGTGGGCAAACTCGCGTGTCGTTTTGCATGAGGGGTGGCAGAGTGGGTGTGTTTTACGCGTACTGGATGCGGCTGCTCTCGGTGCGGCGCGACCCCACCGTTGTGAGTCTGTTGAATCTATTTGGCTCTGATGACTGCAGGTGTGGCTTGCCCGATACGCCGAAGGCCCCTCAGGAAATATCACACAAGTCAACATCAGCGAGTGCTGCGAAAGTTGCCCCCGGCTCGGTTGTCATTTCGGGTGAAGTGAAAGCGTTGGAGCTGCTTCTTGCAACGGACGCCACCCGGGAGGTGGACTGGCTGGACAGCAAGACTTACTGCTACCTTTTTGTTGATGGGGTTTCCCTCTTGGCGGAGACTCCAGGAGACAATGGAAACAGCCGCCACGGCAGCCGAATTGCGGTCGAAGCGCCTCCGTCGCTCCGGGGGCAATTGAAGCTGTTTGGCATTTCCCAATTCTCCCCGGGAGGGTCCGAAGGCGTGTTGCTACCATTCATCACGCAGGTGTCATTAATTTTTGAGAATTACACACGGCTGGTGCCAAACGCAGAAAAGAGTGGGTACGAGTATGTCAAGGGTGGAAGTGAAGACATGGCAGTTCACGTGTTGATTGGTCCGTCGGACCGCGATGACAAGGCGAAGGAAGTGCCGGCGGAGGCGGCGATGGATGTCAAACTCACCATGCCCATGCTGAATGCTTTTCTATGGGTATTTTCTGCCAACATTTTTAACGCGTCTCCCTTGGCCGATGGGATGCAGGAGTCTGATGAAATGACAATGCCGACAGTGGGGGGTGGGAGGCTGGTGTCCGGGACCGGATCATCGTCACCACCACCAACACTCTCGTTGCTTGTCACCATTGCCTCGGTGCGCTTTGTTCTCATTAAGGAACCTGATATTTTCGTCATGCGTGCTCAGTTTCAGGTTTATTTGTTTGACGGTGGTGAAAGCGAAGATGCAGTGACGCAGATGATCCATATCAATGCGCTGACTATAGATGATATCAGCCCCAATCGCCGCGTTATGAGACGTGAAGTCCCTCAATGGCAACAGCAGCAGCATGGCATCACACGAGAGTCACACACAAGTCAAAAGAAGCGGATGCTTGAACTGGAGAGTGGATGCATCACCACGTTGAGATTACTGGAGGGTATGAACAACACCATGTTGGCCATGACAACCAATGTGCTGCTGAACGGTGTACACTTTTCCACTGCCAGGTGTTCGTGGACGACGCTCATGGGCATGCTGCTGCTCGACGTCTCTTCGGCGGCATGGGCAGCGTTGACAAACGGTTCCTCTAAAGTCCAGGGCGAGTCGAAATCGAAGCCATTGACGCTGGAAGTGACGGTTCACCAGATCCATGTACAACTGGAGCTGCCGTGGGAAGAGCCTCTGGCAGAACTCTCAATACGCTCCGTGAGCGCGCAGCTTCATGAGTGTGATGGAAACAAAATAGCGGAGTTTTCTTTGGATGATCCCATCTCTTTTACTCCTTATCTCAATCACGCACCGCAGGCGAACATCCTGGAATGGGGAGAAATGAGTGAAGAAAAAACGCACACCACTGCGTCAAGGCCTTTTCTTCACGTCATTTTCACAGAATCGCACGAGAATTGGAAGGAATACGATTTCCATACGTCTTATGAAGAGAAGCCACAGGTTTTTTACCCCAATAGAGTAGAAGTCACTCTTCAGTCGCCGAGGCTAGTTGCGGATGTGAATTTTATGATGCGTTTATTACGCTTTGCGTCGGACGAGGCGGATGCCTACAGTTTGCTTTTGGGGGCTTCAACTTCCGTAAAGGCAACGCCCATGACGTTTGTGACCGTGATGGATATTTCCGTGAAGGACCTCCGGGTGCTTTTTTCCACGTCGGAAGCAACACCAGCACCACGCTGGTATCTTACTGTGGAAGGTGTAAAGTTGACAAATGAGTGTGTCGAAACGACTGTTAGCGACAAACCTTTAGGAGTAATGGAGTGCATGAACTGTTTCTCTAACGTCTACACTGTGAATGTATATGGAGCGTTCCTCTCCTGTCAGCAGCTTTACCCGTTACGGTTACCGAACACTGTGGTACGTGCTCAGATCCCCATACCGCAGAGCTTATTTACTGAGTGGAAGTCAACAGTGTCTGTCACACCCGATGATCGTGCGCACGTGCGCTCCACGTTTAACTTTGTTTCGCCCTCATCACTGAATGACCCCCAATCGGTGCCTTCTTTTTGTAAGCTTGTTCACATTCAAACGGAGGATGATGCCTCTCTTTCATTTTCTGCACTTCATGTGCGGGATGCACTGCGTGCGCTGCTATTGCAAGCGCCTTCTGAAGATGTGCCGCCATATTACGTCCCGCCCGTCAAGTTAGCTCATGCGCCTGTTTGTGCGACTTCTTCCGTCTCGGTCACTCTGCCACGGGTTTCCGTTCGATTGACGGAGAGCGGTCACGTCAATGCGACAGCGGATGCATGTGCAGACGGTGAAAAAGGTGCAAGCGGCAATGGCCTTACCAAAAGTGCCGCCGCCGCTGCCGCCATTCTCGCGGAAATTCGCTTCCTTGAAGTTGTGGCACTCTCCGCGTCCCTTTTCCCGCATGATGAGATAACCATGCGGGCGCGGCTTTCTATACAAGGGGCATTTGAGCTTCTTGACGGGAATGGCGTTGTTGTGTTGTATCGCCGCGGGAGCGCGACGTTGGCGCATGAAAAGCAGCAACCCTCTCGACGTTTGCGTGACGCCGATGACGCCGGGCTTCAAGTGGACGTGAGCGACACCCAAACGGAACGCCGGATTTGCCTGGAGTCGAATGGGATCATCATCTCACTGCGGCCGCACACGGTGGATTTTGTTCTTCGCATGCATAACGTTATTGGTCTTATGCATCGTGAAGGGCTCTTTGTGGTTGAAGGCAAACACAGCACGAGCAACAGTTGGGGCAATAACGAGGGTGACGCCGATACAGCTGAAATTCCGGTTTCCCAGAATGAAAAACAAACAGTGTTGATTATTCGTGTTGCTCATTTTTTGTTGATGATGGAGAATACGGCGTTACTGGAAGCTCGAAATGTGGAGTCACGTTTAGGCTGGAAAGATGGAAGCACTGCAGGTATTGACACTTACATTCCGTACAATATTTTTATTGGGGATCTCTTGTTGCGAGAAACGGATAGTCATCATATATTTGTGTCTATTTCAGCCATTGAGCTGTCTCTCGGAGTAGGAGAAGTGAGCATTCGAGCAAATCCATTTATTATAAATAACTACGACGTGTTGTTTTACGCGCGTCTTTGGAATAGTGCGGAGGCGCTTTACCTTTATGTTTTGCAGAACGTCACATTCTCAAAGAAACATGAGGATGGGTTTCAGCAGACCGTGATGGCAACTCTTACAGATGTACGTGTGTGCTTTTTTCTATCTCGAGAACACCCTGCTTCTGGAGAAACGGCCGGCAGGATGGAAATTGTGTTTCCCGTCGTGATTTTAAAGCAAAAGGCGAGCACAGTGGAGAATCGTGTAACGTTTGAAACGGAAAAAGGTATCATACGCTATCGCCGCCCAGAGGGTCGGCTGCCGCCCTTTGTGAAAAATATTTGCTTTTCTTGCTTTGTGGAGAATGGCCTTGTGACGCAGTCTTCTTCCGTCATGATACGTCTCAGTGGCATTGAGGCCTTTATCCCTCTTGGGGATACTTTGCAGTGTTGTGCAGAGGCAGTGGCGCAGGCGTTCCTGCCGCTGCTTTCTGTTTTTTCTACGGTGTACCGCAACGTTGACGTTGGCCCTTCTCCCACGATCGATTTACCCGCAACGCCACTATTTTGCGACAGGCTTGTCTTTAATGTTCCATTGGTTTCGTTGAATGTTTGTGCCTCCCAGTCGGATGAAGAAGAATTGGTAGAAAGGCCTGCCGTTCTTTTTGGCGTCAGTTTCCGTCACATCGTCTATGAGCGAAGCCGCACCGGTGGGAATGAGACGACACTTGCCCAGATTCAATCCGTCACCAGCACTGTGGACGCAACCCTCCAGAAGGAATTTGTCAGCGCAAAATCCCCGAACGGAGTGCTGGATGAGCCGTCCCAGTGGGCCTTATACTTCTGTAAAAAGATTTCATCGGGCGAGAGAAAGGCGTTTCTCCCCTCATCATCTCACACGGATGAGGAAAAAGAACAAGGCGAGGGTGGATATGCGTTACGGCATGAACAACTACCTAGGCGTCTTGTAAGTGTCATTTTCCGCGCCCATGCCGTCAAACTTACCGTTTCACCAAAGCTTCTCAGCACTCTAAACGAGCACGTTCTTTTACACGTTGCATCCGGAGTTCATCGCATTAGGAGTATGACGGCATCGTTGTTTTCATCCCGTCATATGGGAGATTCTGGATCTTCGTGGAGTCACAGCTCTGTTAGAGACCCCAATGATCGTGTTATCATTATCACAAGTGATTGTTTTCTGAGCAATGACCTCACACTGGGTGGAAAAAGTGGATCATGTCTTCGATTTTCAAAGGGGGCCATTGAAAGCAATCCGCATAATAAAATAACTGTGAAAGGCATTAATCATGCAAAGGTTTTTGTGTCGATTTTTGTGACTCCCGATGGCACGTTGAAACCGCCTATTGTTGTGGATCCAGGCCTGACAGTTATAGTTGAAGGTGTTCCGTTTTTTACGGAACGGGGAAAACTGACTGACTACGTCGATTTGGGTGCGCGTTCACTCTTTTTGGCGCCCACTGAAATGCCTACAGCGAATTCCCTTGGGTATTCAGTGAATTCACTGGATACCCCTACCGCTATTGTACCGTTGAATACCGTACGTTGGTATAATCTTGAGGTGGTGATCGATGCCTCGATTGATGTTGCACTATGTCTTTGGTCCGTACATCAATCGATTGAGGTCTCCGGTGAGGCGTATGCACGGTACAAGCTGGAGAAGAACTGCTACGAGGGCAACCGAGGGGTAAGAGATTTCATAGATGAGTCTGGTGAGGTGGCACTGTCGAATGTGTCAATCTTGTGTGACAGTGGCCCCATCACAAAGAACCCAGCAGGCCTGATGGTTTACGTAAAGCACCATAAATTGAAAGAGGACCACACAAATGCCGGCATGACCGTGGTGCGAGCAATATTTCCGAATATAAGTTTTACGCTTTCGCTGGGGAACCTCCGACTTCTGTATGACACTCTTGACCAGCTACAACAAGGCTTGAATCACATTGCATCCACCATGGAAATGACAACAACCCGGGAATCGGGAGAGAATAGGGACGAGAATGGGAAGCTTGGAAAGGGCGGAAAAACTTTTTCCGGCAGCATGACGTATTCCCCTCATGCTGAACCTTCATTGTTGTGGTCGCGTGACGGAGAAGTGGCACCATTGATTGAGTTTGGTGCATCAGCAGCGTGTATGGAACTCATTTTGACGAATGACTTCTACAGACCTGAGGTGTCAATTGTTCTTAGTAGTTCTGCCCTCATGGCAAAAGGAACGCGTAGTTTTAATCGCATGACTTGGACGGCGTCTACAACGGTGCATGTTACGGACTACCCGCAGTTGCAGCCTTCACGTGATTTGCTTCTCGTATCACCTGAGGTGGCAGTGGAGTACGCCCGGTATGCCGGCGGTGGGTTCTCTCTCCAAGGAGCTCTGACTTGTCCAGAATTATCTGTGACGCTCCCGTTGGTGACGGCGTTGCGTCTTCTCCGCTTTCGTTTTGACTTGCAACGCACTGGGGCCTACTCGTTTCGCAACTGTACCGGCATCCCACTTCTTCTTTTAGCGGTGATGAAGGTCAACAAGAAGAATACTGGGGAAAGAGCTCCTTTCTGTCGTCTGCCTCCTGGAAAACTTGTGAAGGCAAGCATTTTCCATTACAATCAAACCCGATTTCGCATTATTGCTGATAATAAGGAAGACATGGACGAGTGTGATGGGAATCTTAGCATGTCCGGTGCCGAGGTGGACTTGTCAGCACTGCAGCGCGGGGCCACGTGCCGCTTTCCACTTCTTGGACCCTCTCTTGGTGCCCTGGACATCGTGATGCGCCTGGATGAGATTGGTCGCATTGTCGACATCACCACCTCTGTCGAAATCAAGAATGAGCTTGCCACACTTGCTGTATGCCTGCCCGGAACTCCCTTTGACCCGTGCACGGTCAAGCCAAAGGAAACGTGTTACGCAACCCTTCCGTGTCTCCGTCATCCATTTTTGCTGTCTGTTGGGGAATGGCAGCTGAGGACGAGGAATGCGCTTGTCACATTAGAAACATTGATCAATGCATTTACACTTTTATCACCTGAACAGAATGGCACGCTGGCAAGTAGTCTGAGCGACGCTGCTGTTGTCGCTCCGAGGCGTGCATACATGGAAGACGATGACACGCTCATGCTCCCTTTAACTCTCTCAAAGGGACATGATGATGATGAGGGCCGGGCTGAAGCGGGGGAGAAAAACAAAGAAAAGATGAGGGTTCTGTTGGTGCTCACTCGGAGGATTGCATTGGAGAATGAACCTCGCACGTCACACCTTTTGCCCCGTTATGAAGTGGAATTGCGTGTCTGCCCGATGGTGGCTGTCTTTAATGAGACAGGGATGGCGCTTGCGGTGACGATGGTATCATCTTCATTTGTGGATGCGGCGGTGCGTAAGTTGACTTTTTTGCGTGGAGAAGAAGAGTTTAACTACGTTTCCCAGGGCCATGAGGGAGAAACGCTCATGATGGAGTTAACATGTGAGTTTGCGGAGGGTGTGCGGTTGTGTTCCGCCGAGCCGCTGCCTCTCACTTTCACGGGAACAACGACAGTCGTCATGAAAGACCCAGTTGGTGGAAGAATGGCCGCTCTTTTGGTGGAGCGAGCGGCGCACAGTAAATTTATTGTGCGTGCAGCAGCCATTTTGGTGAATGCATTGTCTTTCCCCGTGCGAGTGTACGACGGGTCGAATGCACTGATTTTGGGGCAGAATGCTGAGGTGGGTCTCTGCTCGGGGAGTGAGTTGCCTCTGACACTTCCAATTATTCGAGAGCAGCTCCCGCGACCTGACACCGCTGTCTCGGTGCGTGTTGTGGCGGGTGGTTTCACGGCGAAGTCTTCTCAACAGTTTACTTGCAACGCCCCAACCGTTTCGGGTATACTTCAGAGCGTGGATGGGGACGTGGTTCGCATATTTAGGGCACAGCGGTCGGGCGGGATTAAAAAAATGTTTGCCCCCACGCCTGTGGTTCGTCTGGAGCCCATGTGGGTTTTCCGCAATCAATGTGGCGTCCTTCCCTTAACGGTGTGCCCCGTGGGAATGACGGAGTCTGTGGTCATTGAACCGCATTCAAAAAAGGAGTGGACCACCTTTTCTTTGTCATCTGCGTCCGATCCACTGATACAGGTGCGTTATGGCAGAAATGAGGAAGAACTCTTTATGTGGTCCGAGCCGTTTAAACTGGTTACCCTTGTTGGCACCAACGTGTCTATCGTCATGAGGCATCGGATGCGTGAGAAGACGGCAGAAACGGGAGAATCGGTGTTGTCATCATCCGTTGTCAAGGCGGGTGTGGCCGTCTTTACAAGCATGCGGATCCCGATTATGGCAGGAGATTCCCCGACATGTGAACATTTTGCGTGTCTTAGCATTACGCCTTGGCGAAGGAATGGAATCTTTTACGTCGATTTTTTTTTGGATGCGAAAGTTCCGGTAGTTGTTGAAAATCGCACTGAGCGGTTGCTACAATATGAACACGTAAGAAAGTCTTCCTCAGCCCCAACGCAATTTCTTTGCGCCTACATCATCCAGCCCTTTACGGACGGTGTAACATGCCTTGATAGTGGGGATACCGTCCATGTCATGCGAATTACTTTGTTTGACGAGAAGAAGCCTCCTCAGCAGTGCGTCATTGATTTGTCAAAAGCCGCCGCGACACACGAGGCCGTAAGGGCATCTCAAGGGATGTTTGTATTATGTACTTATGACTACAGATTGCAGCGCTACTACGTCTCTGTTACAACAGACCGTTCACTTGAAAGCAGGCTTTTATTTCAATCCCGGTACATCATTCATGTGGAGATGTTTATTCGCTCGCTTTCACTGTACATCGCGTCTATATGTGTCCCAAAGGATGAGAACACGTTACTAAAATCACCACTGGCGGTACTGGTGACGAGAAATCAACTTCAATTGGGCCGAGTTATCACTCCAGAGGACTCCGCGAATGCTGAGGTACTTGCAGCGCTCAAGTGCCGGGAACTTGACATTGTCCTCATTCAAGCCCTTGGGATCTACAGTGCTCTTTCTGTCAATGAAAAGCATTATTTTGGCCATCTCGATGTTGGACGTTTAGCGTTTATTGACTGCACAAACCCTCGACCAGCCCACCCGGTCATCATCGGCTTAAACAGCGGAGAGGCTCGTCGTAGTACATCGAATGACAAGGTTGAAAAGCCCTCCTTATCGGTAAATGTGCACGCTCTTGTTCCGGGTGAATCCACGGTTGTGAATGTGGGTTGTGCGTCGGTAAAGGATGTGTTGCTTCCGCTTCAGCACCTTCGTGTCGATGTGGCACCAGTGACGGTGAAACTGGTCGATTCATTTCTTTTTATTTTGCGTCAGGCTGGCATCTGTATATTGGAAACGACACAGCAAACCGTATCCACTCGCACCATGCAAGAGCTGGAAGAGGATTGTCATAGCCATGTTGACCATCTAGCGTCACCCTCCTCGTTTGAGGAGATCCCTGTTTATAACTGCCACATCACACAATTGAATATTTCACGCATTGATTTGGATCTCACCATCACACGCCGTAGCGATGGGAAGTTTGATCCTTTTTCGGGTATCACCCTTGGCAGTCGGTTTATACCATCCGTGGAGCGGGCCCCTTTGAGCATCAGTGAGGTGGAGAGGCGGGATGTGAGTCAGCGTGGAAGCTCACCGTATAGTGCATTGCTATCATTGTTATGGCCCTCGTATAGGAATCAGCTTATGCTTCAGTTCTACAAGATCATTGGTTCCCTTGAGATTCTGGGCAACCCCCTCGCACTAATAAGCGGATTCCAAAGAGGAGTCCATTCATTTGTTGTTGAGGTGGCGGATATGAACCCTGCGAAGGGGGCCCGCGAATTTCTTCTTGCAACCACCTCCTCAGCTTTGCACACGGTTGGTCTTCTTTCCCGCGTCGGCAGCCGGACGGCAGCGACTCTCTCGTGGGACAATGAATGGCTTGAAACGAGGGGAGAGGATGCGCGAATTAGTGACCCCATGAATCGCAGTGGAGTCTTGTTGGGCATGGCGCAAGGACTGCTTGACGGCATTGAAGGTGCGCTCTCTCGTCCCTTGAGTGGCGCGCGAGCGACCGGTTTTACTGGATTTTGCACGGGCATCGCAACCGGTGCGGTGGGACTACTCACACGGCCAGTTGCCGGGGCTCTGGATGGATTTGGAAACACTGCGGAGTTTTACTCCAAGTTACTGCAAGAACCGGATGAGATTCCAAAGGCGCACCTGAGTTATCTTGAGAGTGAGCGTAATTTCATTGCGGCTGCCGTCAGAAATCCCAGCAATTTTTCCGCTACTGGTAGGACATCTTCCAGTGATAGTATGAAGAATTCTGCATCGTCAACAGCTTCAGGTAGCACCGCGGGGCCCAGTTCCAATTTTACGGAACTTTTGACGCGACTGGGGCCTAGCAAAAAGTGGAACACCGATGGCTGCGAGTTTGTGTCTCGGATAACGTACGATTGGATAAGGCGGAATGCAAGGTGCGAGGATTCTCATGGCGAAGACGCCACGCGAGCTCTAAAGCGTAGTGCTGGCGTTCATAATTATGCTCTTTACGCGGATTGGAACTCTTTTGTGGCAAACGCCACACCGGAAGAATTTTACAACTGGGTCCATGTTGCACTTGCGGCTGCGCTTGGTAAAGAAATGGAGGCTGTCCTATCGAGTGGCGACTTCTCTGGGGGTGGGCGTGCTCCGTCAAAGCTCCAGCGGACTCGTGAGTTTTTGCCCGATACCCAAGGAATTGGCAGTAGCATTGGAGCGGGCCGAGGTCATTAAAAGTACTCTTGGCACCCGGGATTTGCTCAAATACGTCTCGCTTGAACACATTTTTTTGGTGTGCTCCTTGGACGAAGTAAAAGTTCATTTCTCGCCGGGGATGATTTACAAGGAGCTGCCGCAGTTAATTCTCTCGGGTGCGAGAGAGTCCCTGATATACATTTTGTGTGGTGGGGTTGAGGAATAACGGCAGTTGTGCCCTATGTTCATGCATTTGCGTGTTTTTTTCTTTCTTTCCGTTATTATTATTGGTGGACTTGTGTTATTATTTTGGGCGTCCTTTCTTCTTGCTTTCATCGTCAAAAATAAACTTGAAGTTGCCAAAAACAACGACAATTTGCATATATATATATATATGTATATATGTATATATATGTGTCTGTGGGTTTCACTTTCACTTTTCCCTTCCTTCTCTCTTGTAGGTTGCGTCACCGGCGAGTAGGGAAGAGAGTGAGAGGGGAGGGCTGCATGACGAACTCCCTTCGTGTGGCGGCCCTTAATTTATTTGTTTTTTCTTCTTTTTGTTTTTTTCCACACATGTGGGGAGGCTGCCGTGCTGGAGGAATTGGTGCTGCCGTACTGCGTCCGCGGATGGAGGTGGAAGGATGTGCCGGAGGAGGCAGAAAACCCCGACGTACAGCCGGGTGGAATTGGAACCGTACGAACATACAAAGGATGCTTTCAGAAGGTGCGTGACCGCTTTGTTGTTGTGACGCCAACTCGCACCAAACCATCGCCCAGGTCACTGCCGCCTTGTCAGCACTTTTTGCAACGCAACGAAACACTGCAGTTTCACTACCTCTCCTCTGACATTTGCCGTATGGGACATACCACGAAGGATGCGCCGCATCTGATGACGTTTTTGATGGATTACTTTGCGCCCTGTTCAACACCCTGCCAACGGGCATCGCAAGGCGAAAGTGCGGCCAAACGGCTTCGCGTGCAATTGACAGTTCTGTACGGTAACGTCTGCACGTCGTACCCCGCTCCAAAGCTGGATGAGGCTTTCCAAAAAGTCATTCTGGGATGGTTTCACGCTGTTTTTCGTGGCGACTCTCCGTTTATTGAACTGATGGGTTCTTGGGGCATCGACTTTGTTCCCCCTGCTGGCGCTTCCGGGAGTGGCGCACTGCTCATAAAGGAAGTATCTTACAAGATGGCAATGTCCTATGGCGGCTTTTTCTGTCCTCGCGATGAGGGGACTGTGCCTACGACATATACGCCGGCCTCTATGGTATCAGAGAGAAGTACGAGTGGCTTGTGGATTATTACGCGATGGGAACGCTTTCGCTGGTTTCGGACGCGCGCACAAGCGAGTCTCTTTCGGCGTTGCCTCCTACATTACTATAAAGTTCCTTCCCGTACGGGTGATCATAGTCTGTTGCTGCACCGTCGTTTAAATGAACGACATTTTGACGAGTTGCACTGGCAGAAGAAGCTTCAGGCTCGTTTAGAGCCGCGTGGAGTGTCAGTAATGTTGCAGACGTTTATTTCGATGGAGTATCACCATCAGGCCTCCTTCATGCATAATAGTTCGATTTTTATTGCCGCCCATGGTGCAGGAATGGTGAATATAATGTCCATGTCGCCAGGAAGTGTGGTTGTGGAGCTATTTCCGCACGGTTTCCGCTATGCCATGTATCAGGAACTGGCAGAATTATTGGGTTTGCATTATATTGCCTATGAAAGCCCCAGCGTTTGGCCACCGCGTTGCTGTATACAGCGTGAGAAAGGCTCAGCGGCACAGCATACGCCTCCCCTGCATGGAACCCCACCCAGGACAAGCTTTGGCATGCGTTCATGCAAAGGATGTGACATCAATGTTTTAGAAGAAGACATGGAAGCCATTCTCTTCGATGCCTTGGGGATTGTGTCTGCCGATATTTGCCTGCACTCTGCTTCCATATGAGAAGTAGGTGGGGAGTTTCTTTAATAAAGCGCATGGGGCGCAAAAGACCACAATGAGGTTTGGGTGTCATGATATGGCTGGACTCTGGTGCACAGCGAGTTGTTGCTGTCGCTGCTGTTGCGGCTTTTACTGATGTTATTTTCTGTTGTTGTTTTTTCCGCTTGATTGGATGTGCTTTGACTGCTTTACCCATGAAGTTGTTTCCTCATCGTTGGTTTTATTTTATTTTTTGTTGTTTGTGATTCTCTTTTTTTTTTTAATTGGTCGCGCAACACATCTCCATTGGCCCAGATACACACCAGCTATTTAAACGCAAATTAATCAAGGAAGTGAAGGACGCCATGACCACCCTGAAGGAACTTAACGGCCGCCTCAGCTCCCAGCCATACGTCTCGGGCTACTGCCCCAGCCAGGAAGACGCGAAGATATTCGCTGAGATGTTCGGCTCGTGCACTGCTGTGGCTGAGTGGGCCGCACGTATGGCTTCGTACTATCAAGCGGAGCGCGAACAGATCCTCAAGGGCACCACATCCTCCTCAAAGAAGGCCGCTGCTGCTGAAGACGAAGACATTGACCTTTTCGGGGAAGCGACGGAGGAGGAGACAGCTGCTCTTGAGGCCAAGAAGAAGAAGGACGCTGACGCCAAGAAGGCAAAGAAGGAGGTTATCGCCAAATCCTCCATTCTGTTTGACGTCAAGCCGTGGGACGACACCGTGGATTTGCAGGCGCTGGCGGATAAGCTGCACGCCGTTAAGCGCGACGGCCTGCTGTGGGGCGACCACAAGCTGGTGCCTGTGGCATTCGGCGTGAAGAAGCTGCAGCAGCTTATCGTCATTGAGGACGACAAGGTCTCCAGTGATGATTTGGAGGAATTGATCATGTCGTTTGAGGAAGAAGTGCAGTCCATGGACATTGTCGCCTGGAATAAGATCTGAGCCTCACCGTTTTCAGAAATCGAAGGAAAAGAAGCGAGATGATCCGTGTCTTTTTGTGCGTGTTTATGACTGTTTATGTGTGTTTTGAGGGAGCAATAATGATGGTAAGATAAGAAAATAAGCGGAGCTCTCGCGGCGTGGATGCAGGTGCAAATCAAAGGAGTTTTAAAAAGGGAAATTGAGGGCAGATGAGAAGAAACGAGGAACCTTTTCTCCTCCGTTCTTCTCTCACTTTCCTCCTACGAGACAAATTATTGGATGAAAGGGACGTTCCGCACATTCATCTACACACCAAGGTAAAAAGAAAACCAAAACAAAAAAATAAAAAAAATAAAAAAGAGGAAGGGAAAAAGCGTCGCAGCCGGTTATCTTTTTTTTTTTTTCTTATTGTTTAGGGAAGCAGGGAGAGGAGGGAGGAGGAAATAGGCAAAAAAAGAAAAAAAAAGTGCCGGGCGGTTAGCTGGGATGAAGGCGCGGAATTATGACAAATAACGCACTTTGGCCCCACAATGAACATTTCATTTGCCTGCCGATAATACCCATTTTGGCGGGTTGGTCTTATGCCCCCGCAGCGCAGTTATTATGTTTTTTTTTTCTTTTTATTTGGTGGTTGTTGTCTTTGTTGTTTGTTTTTATTTTGCTTTTTCTTTAGGCCACACCTGCAGCCAAGGCATTATTCATCTAGGCAGGAGAGAAGAGGGTAGGAAATAAGACTGTCGGCGGCGGTTGTGCTGAGAAGAAAAGCAAAAGAGAAACTATAAATAAAAGGGGATGAAGCGTTTTATGTGTGGACCGAAAGCGGTCTTTGTGTCTATTTTCCGCTGGCATCATCTTGGCGGTGGGGCAGTGGTGGCCCCTATCGCGTCACACGACAAGCAGGTCATGTACGAGACGACTTGTTGCATGTCTCGTTTTGGTTTTGCAACACAGTCGCCTTTGCTCCTTCAGTCCTGGGCGCAGCGGGCAAGTCGGGTCTGGATGTGCGTCAAGGAGGGATGCCGTCATGTGAATGCCCCAAGCGCCACCGAGTGTGAGGCGTGTGGAGCCGAGAAACCCAACCTCAGGGGGTGGGTGTGCGTGGAGTGCGGGGCACGCAACCACAAGGGAGTAAAAACATGTCATAAATGCACCGCATCTGCTGAAAACAGTAACGGATTCTGGATGTGTGCTGCGTGCGAGAAGAATAATCGTGTTGATGACCTGGACGACAACAGCCGCTGCGGATTTTGCGGGTACGATATGGCTCCCATGACAATGACTGAAGCAGAGGCACTTCGGATTCAACAGGAGCGGTCCCAGCGGCTCCGTGAGGAACAGGAGCGATTTGACAGCATTTCGGCCAGGGAGGCGGATGAACAGTTTGGTGATGAGGCCGCTGGTGCCTCGGCTCTGCCCATGAGCCTGAAACAAGCGCCATCAGCCACCTTGCGAAACTTTCCCAGCGTTCCTGAGGTGAAGCCATTTACTCCTTCTCCCATAGAAACAGCCCACTCACGCATTTCCAGGAAACCAAAGCGATCATTGCCAACAGGCATTCCGCCAGGACCACCCGGTTTTGATTGGATGTGCCGTGAGGCCAGTTGTGGCACGATTAACGCCGGTGACGAAGAGAGTTGCACCAGTTGCGGTAAACACATCGCACCCGCCGAGTGGGAATGCTGCCACTGCGGAGCAATGAATCACTTGAGTCGATCAAGATGCTTCAACTGTCGTATCATCATCCCCGTATCGTGGATGTGTTCCAGCTGTAAGGCGGCGACGAGCATTTATGACCACAGCTGTCGTCAGTGCGGTGAGCCGCGTCCCGTAACGGAACCAAAAGACCCTCGCGATGTTCAATTTTCAACGCACGCAAGGGGTTCGGCTTTTGCTGGTGGCGGCAGAAGAAACATGCCACGCCCCCAGGACTGGAGCTGTGTTGAGTGCCACGGTATGAACTTTGCGTCCCGAACCACTTGCTATCAATGCGGCGCATCTCGAGGCACATCTGAGGTCGACGCACCCGCTGGTGCATCGTCTGTGTCGGCCTCACCGGACATGGCGGTTGGCCACAACAATTGGTTTTGCCGGCACTGTCAGGCGAGCAACTTCCGCACCCGCAGCAGTTGCTGGCAATGTGGCCGCCCCTCGTCAGAGTCCGGCGCGACATCCTGGTCTGATGATGCCTCCGCACCGCATTTTGAGAAGGAAGGGTTCCAGCCGGAGTCTGATGGCGCTGTTGCCGAGGGCCAAGTAAACGTATGGGACAAGAAGTCCGACGACTGGACCTGCGGGAAGTGTTTTTCGAAGAATTTTAAAAACCGCCAGGAATGCCACAAATGCGGCGCGGCAAAAACCGTGGCGGTGGCGCCACGTCGTGCCGTTGTGCGTAAGCCTGTAAAGATTTGAACGCGACTACCGTTATGGCTTACTTTGCCCATATTCACATATTTTTCTGGAGGCAGCTAAACAATAGGAGACAGAGAAGAAATAACAAAAGAAAAAAGAGAAAAAGGAGAAAAGGGGCTGAAGAAAAGAGAAGAGGAGGAGGGAATGCTGTGACGAGAAGATACAAGACCCATTACACGGTGGTTTTTTTTTTTCAAAATCTCTCCCATGTCTTGTTGTTGTTGTTGTTGTTGTTTTTGCCCTGTATTTCCTTTTTACACATCATTTAATTGCATAAACGCTGCGGCGGGAATTATCGGTGCAGGAAGAATCAGCGTCTTGTTGCATCTTGTTTTATTTATTATATATATTGTGGGTTTTTTCTTTATAAATGTTTTTATGTATTCTTGTTTCCATTTCCTCCCCACCTTTCTTTTTTTTTGCTTTTTTATTTGCATACGCACTCACCCAAACTGACACAGTGGGTCGGACAGAATACGATGCGTCGGTTGTTGGTTATCCCATGGCGCCTTTTCCCCACGGCGGAAGGGAAAATGCGGACTGCGTCTTTGTTTTTCACGCCGGGCATTCCAGTGCTGGAAGAAGACTTGGTTGACGAGGAACTACTCGCCCGACTTCTTGTACAGGAGGCTTCCCCAGTGGCGACACCGACAGCACCAGGCCCATTGCCGAGGCCAAAATGCATGACTTCTTCTACATCCACTGTTCCTTCCACCGCCCCAGCGGTGCCCGTAACGGAAGAGGAAAGCGGAACGAGAAATGGAGAGGTCACACTAGCAACTGACATGTTTTTAGAGGAAGGTGGTGAAACGACATTGCAGCGGAGTGCCCTCCCAATCAAAAGCTCCCGTCGGGGAAATCAGCATGTCTCTAAGTACTCCTATATTCGTAAGTCAATGCATACGAAGTTGATCAAGGAGGGTGCTGAGCCTGTGAGGGAATCCACACTTGAGTGGATGTGCAGCGGTTGCCGAACTTACAATTTTGTCGGTAGGAAATTGTGTAGACGTTGCAAACAACGAGATATAGACTCCTTTAAACACACCTCGCCTCCTGCACGTCACATCCCATTATTCCCTGCGACGTGGGCTTGTCATTCATGCGGTTTCATTAACCGTTCCGAAGCCCACGGCGTATTAAGTCGCAATAAATTTTTTTGTGAGGGCTGTGGCATTCGTTTTTCCGGTGTGCGGGAATGGTATTGCCCATCGTGCCATTGCATCAATTCTCGGGGCTCAACAAAGTGTGCAACTTGCTACCATGAGCGTCCTCACCTTTGGACCTGTTCCTACTGCAAGTACGATAAAAACTCGATCTTCTTTACGGAGTGTCATAATTGCCTTGCTTCTCGTTCAAGGCAGGTGTCTGACTCTACTGTTTTGTGTCCGACGTGCCATCAGCGGAATGACGTGCAATGGGAGATGTGTTTCTTCTGCATGACGCCTTTAGGGATGATGGTGAGCGTCAAGAGGCTCCAGGAACGGTTGGTTGGTGGTGTGGATAAAGTGGCAAAAAAATTGCCCAGTGAAACCGAAGAAGGTAAGCGCAAAGGTGGTGGGGATGATGCTTTTTCAGAGCTCGCGACGGCGGAGTCTTCTCCAATTGTTGATAAGGGGACAGGAGAAAATGAGGATATGCGATCAAACACATCTCGGCCGCCGGAGCCAGGGGAAGACGATTCCCAGAAGTGTTTAAATAACGAAGGCCAGCAGGAGTCGAATCCATCACCTGAGAGAATCAGCTCTACGAGAGAAGTGCAAATCCAGGAAATTGCTGCGAACGAGGACGGTAGTTGGTGGTGCGACGAATGCCAAGTTTTGCAGCGGCGCAATGCGGGGTTTTGTGATATTTGCCTGAAGCCAAAAGTCGTCGCGAATTCTGGAAATGTTTCGGCACAAAGAGAGGGGACGGTGCAGACTGGATGGACATGTCTCTCATGTGCCCATCAGAATGAAGATGCGTCAAGGCAAACCTGTGAGAAATGCCACAATGCAAAGCCACAGGGAGCAGGAGTTGTACAACGTGACGAGCAGCAAGGAATACGGGTTGCGTCTGCTGCGACTAGTGATGCGATGGAAACTGTTTCCGTTTTTTCCTTTGTTGGAGATACAGGCCAGTGGCGGTGCCCCTACTGCCGAAAGATGGTGGATGTTACGGAAATTTCATGTTGCGGCGTCCCGCGTGAAATTCCATTTGGGTATTGGCTTTGTGACTCTTGCTGCAGTACAAATCGTGACGAGCGGGCGAACTGTATGGGTTGTGGTGCGGCGCCACCTGCTAAACCGTGGCGATGTTTTTTATGCAGGTTTGGGAATAATAGCAAAGACCTCTTTTGTGTTCGCTGTGGCTCTGCGCATCCGCATCACTGGGAGTGTGCAAAGTGTGGTACGAAATGCCAACAAGCCTCTCATAGCAGGTGCTTTTCGTGTGGTGCGGAGAAAACCACGCAAGAGGTTATCAATTGCGAAGCATGTTGTGCCCCAAATCATGCGTCCCGGAGGAGTTGCTACCGTTGCCGTGGACGACTATCATCTGATAAGTGGCGTTGTGGTGCATGTGGCTCAACTGAGAATGAGAGGCAGGCTCGCCGATGCGAGGCGTGTGGCAGCCCACGCGAGTACAATATGGAGGAAATCATATGGATTTGTGACGTGTGTGACGCGGCAGTGGCCTCCGGAGGTGATTTGCCGGAGCGCACTCAGTGTCCTCTCTGTTCTTCCGAGCGCACTGAGCGAAGCTTGTGCTTGCCCAGTCGCTGGCGATGCCAAGGTTGTGGTGTGTTGAACAGCTATTCCGTTCCCTCTTGTTTGGAGTGCGGTGGCAAACGCGTAATGGAAGGGTTGCATACACACACTACTTGCTCTTCGTGCTTCCGTATAACTGCGCTTACGAAGCAGGAGCAGTGCAGTAACTGTGGTGCGGACCTGTCGTCAATCATCAACGAGGCGGGAACTCCGATTTCACTGACTGGCATCAAGTCGCTTCTTGTCGAAAACACCCCTCTTCCCACGTCCTCAGCAGATGGACCCATGCGGACGTGCAATGTTGCAGAAAATACTTCTGTGGCAAGAAGAGGAACCGCATCTCCTTGTTCTACACGTGAAAACACAGTAACATTGAGGCAGCCTTCGAATGAGCAACGGCACGACGCAGATCACCTTGTTGAGAAGAAGACTTGTACGGATGAGACCTTGGATGCTCGCATGGTGAATCCCTACTCCTCCTCCATCCCTCCTTCGTCATTAGCAGCCGCAGCAGCAGAAACGGTGTTAACTTTGATCCCGAGTAACACCAATGGGAATAATTTTCTGAGGGAAGAAGTGGAGGAGCCTGAGGCCGTGGTGATGGACGTGATAAGCGAGGAGGAAGAGGAAGAAGAAAAAGAAGTGGATTTGGAGGGTGTGGAGTGGAGCAGCAGCATTCCGTCGTGGATGTGTGTGAACTGCGAGACAAAAAATCTTGAAGAGGCTGAGACGTGTGTGTGCTGTGGGCTTCGTCGCGGAGACGACTAAATTATCTTTAAGCCTAATATTAATGTTCACAGTTGCCGAGGAATAGGAACGAAAAAAAAAAAAGGGATATGTGTATACGGGCAGCTGTGACCGGGTGTGGGATTAATTTGGGCCGCGCTTCAGCATGCCTCTGTGAATCTCGTCCTCTTTTTTCCTTCGGTTTTACTTTTTATGCAACTCAATAGTAATAATACTAATAATAATAATAATAAGTTTTAGGGAAAAGTGCAAGCGAGAGGAAAAGGAATCAAAAAAGAAAAAAAAGAAAAAAGAGGGGAAGGGAAGGGGTGAGCGCTCATCCGTTTCTGCACATTTAAGGAGAGAAAATCAAAAAACAAAAACGAAAGGAAATGTCAGACGACAGTTGGATCATCGAATCTATTGTGCAGTTTACGCGGTCACCGCTTTGGCGCACCCCCATTAACAACTTTGTGGACGATAACTGTTCTATGTTTAGCGATGATGGGGAGATGAAGGTGGAGCAGACGGAGGTACATTTGGCCTTCCGAAAGCTGGCGGACGACCTCATCACCTCTTTTGTGGGGGAACTTGGCGTTCCGTTGGAGACCGTTCTTGCGGTGGTGTACAAGTGTGTGAATGGCCAATCCCCAATGCGGCAACCCGCCGAGCAGTTCCTTCACAACATCTTTTACATGGACGACTTCTGCTCTTTCCACAAGATGATGCTGAGGCGGAATATTCAGCTGGACATTCTTGCCGCTCGCGCGCTGCAACGCCAGCAGGAGGGCCTTCCAGCTCAAGCGTCTGTTGAAGAAGAGGCGGCGATGGACGAGGAGGAGGCGCTCCGCCTGGCTATCAAACTGTCGCTTCAGGATGAGGAGACCGCACGCAGAATGATGAAACTGGAGGACATGCAAATACAGGAGGCCCTTGCCTTGTCGATTGCGGCGGAAGAGGCTCGCGTGCGACGTGAAGGCGAAACTGTGAATGACGGTGCCACGGGAAGAGCCGCAGAGGCAGGAGGGGTAGCCACTGGGCAGGCCGCAAAGGAAAAACTCAGCTCGTTGAAAGAGGAGAAGGAGCAAGTCATTGGGAAGCTGGAGGCCCGTGCACTGGAGGTGCGGAAGGAGACGATGATGCGCGGCATCAGTGCGACGCAAAATGTGCCGCCCTCCAGCTCGGATGTTTCTTCGGCGAAGAGTACCTCCGTAGTTGGGGATGAATCCAAGCAGCAAAAGGAAGGACCTCCCGCTCTGGCCTCTGCGGCGGAAAAATTGCCTGTAAAGGCCGCGTTGCCGCCGTGTGCGCCTCCTGGTAAAGGATTTGGTTTTAAGGCACTTCCTTCTATTCAACCATCGTTCAAGCAGCTAGAGTCCCTAGTGTTGCAAACAGTCACGCCGCCGCCCCCACAACCAGCCAAGCGAACTGATGACACTCCAAAAACTGCTTTGCCGCCTCCCACATTGGAAGAGATGGAGGAACGGGCACGGCACATGCGTGAGCAACGGGAGAAAATCTTGATGCAGAACAAGGCTAACAGAGAGAAGGAGTTGAAAGATTATAGCGTTAGCGGCGGGAAAACCAGCGTGAAACCGAGCGGTCTTCGGGAAAGTGAAAAGCAGATGACACTGGAACTTGCGCGGCGCCTGCGAGAGGACATCGTTCACGAGGCAACCAAATAATCCGATACTTGAGCTGGCTTTCTCCTCGTTGGTAATAAAATACTTGTGGGTGGAATGCTTTTTTCCAGGGCTGTTGCCTCTATTTATTTTGCATACGTCCTGTATTTGGGACCGCCAGTACACAAACATATATTATCCAAAAATATACAGAAAATAGTCATTTGTGTTGCCCGGAGTTATGGGTAGCTTGAGGCAACAAACAAACAAACACAAACGGGAAAGGAATAAAAAGGCGTGGGTTTGTCCCTGCCGCGAATAAGGTCATTATATAGATCAGTGAAGCACATAGGTGGAGTAAACAAGTCTGGTTGAAAGTGTCAATACGTTCTTGGGCCTCCCTGATTCTTCTGCTTACTGGTGGGTGGGGTGGGAGTGAGGAGAGAAACACTGCGGAATATGTTTAAATGGATTGAATGCGATTCACACACACACAAAAAAAAAAAAGAAAAAAAAAAAAGAATCGAAAATTGAGTTTGGTTTTTATTTAACTGATAACATTCCTGCTTTTTGGCTTGTTTTGGCAAATTTGGTAACCAGGGTATTCTTGTTTCTGTGTCCAGCTGTGAAGACAGAATCGGGCCTCTGTGTTTTTGTTTTTTTTTGTCATCTCGTTCAATGGAATGGAAGAACAGGCGTTAAATGCCACCAAAAAACGCAAACGGAAGGGATATGAGCGGGATGGTATGCTTGTTTGTGCTCAGGTAACTTTTTTGTTGTTGTTGTTGTTGTTTTTGCTTTTGTGGCAGCGGTATTGGAATTATTCACCCTTTTGTTTTGTCTCCGAGTGTTTTTTTTTTTTTTTTGTGTGTGTGTGTCTACTCACCTTGACAAAGGGGGAGTAATTGGCGTTTTACCCGGATCCATGGTGATGCGAGGGAAAAAGTGGGTAGCGGGGAAATGTGACGGCATATTGCTTCCCATCGTGGTGCGTGTGTAAATTGTCTTTTTAAACTTTTCCCGCCCCTGTCTGAGAGTTGGCTTTGAAGAAAGGAGGAGGGACACTCTTCTCGGTCATGGCGGTGCTTTTCCCAAGTGAAGGGTATGTTGCCTCCGTGGAGCTTATTTGCGCAGAACACCTGCAGCGCACTCTTCTTGCATGCGATGAGGCAACGGCATTTCAGCGCATCGTGGTTCAGGCGGTTGTGCTCCATGTAGGCCATTGGGGCTTTGAGCAGCACCACGCGTTGGGTGGTGAAGGGCATCGTGGGTTTCCGTTACAAACTATCATATCGAAACGGGACGGATGGAGGGTTTCGAGGAGGACACAAAAAATAGACCCTGTGCTGGAGCGGCGGGAAGAATTCATGCAAAATGAGGGAACTCTGCTACGCAGGATGGCGGCGGCATCTAGAGGCATCCGCCAACGCGGCGCAGCATTGTACGCCTTTGGTGGATCTTCTTATTGACGCCGAGTACTGTGGAATGATGCGAGAGTATCTGTGTTGATATTGCTTTTTGTTTTGTCTCCAATTTTGATATTTTTTTGTGATTAATTGTGTGTGTGCGTGTGTTTTGCTGCGACATTTGTCGACCCCCCTTTTTTACCTCTACTTGCTTCTTCCTTGCGTCTATTCTGGGGCGCTCCTTTGCATTAAATGGAATAAGAGGGGCTGGGAGAAGTGAAAACTTGGCGTATTTACGTATACATAAACACGATACTTAAATATTGCGAAGAGGAGAAGTACAAGATTCTGGTTGTATTTGTTTTTTGAGTGATGAAGTTAATTATTTTGGGGGGGCCCGTGGTGGGTAAAGTTAACGTTGACGTCACACCGGATAAACCATTCGGGGAGGTCTTTGCATTGATTCGGGCGGCGGTTGATAAAGGCGCGCTTTGGGACAAATTCCAGCTTAACGTGGCGGAGGTGCGTGATCGGAAGGTCAGAGCCACCACCCGCGTCATCCAGTCAACGGATACGGCAGAATCCCTCGGTCTTAGTTCAGATGCTGCCGTCCTAATCCTGCGGCCACTCGATCGAAACATGTCTGGGGGGCCAACGGTGGCGGATAGAGTCACTGACACCAATTCCACTCCCCCGAAATCGACACAATGTGATTATCGCAGTCGCATGATAGCCATTTATCAAAAGTACGAGCCTTCGAAGGTGGGAACGGTGGATGCATCACTGCAGAAGTTTAAAGGAAAAGAGGAGGCAGTCATTCGGCAACTTGTGAAACAGTACGGGCCGGAGCCACCTGTCAGCGCCAATACGCCTTCAGGCAATACCCCCGGGCCACAGTCGGCACTCTCACCTGTTTCACCGCTACCACCAGCAGCGGCACCAGAAGTGGCAGCGGCATCACCCGTGGTGGAGTCCTCCTCTGAGACTGCAGAGAAAAGTTACCGCAGTCGCATGATAGCCATTTATCAAAAGTACGAGCCTTCGAAGGTGGGAACGGTGGATGCGTCATTGCAGAAATTTAAAGGAAAAGAGGAGGCAGTCATTCGGCAGCTTGTGAAAAAGTACGGGCCGGAGCCCGACGCCGCAAATACAGACTCCCCGCAGTTTCCACCCAACAATGATGTCATCAGCCCCATTCGTTCCATCAAGCCTCAGACCTTTCAGGACGCTGAGACACGTGAGGAGACACCGGTGTCACCCCATAGTAATCCTCAAAGCGCTGGAGTTATACACAATTCTGCATCGCCATTGGCGCCCACGAATAGTAGCAAGACCGTCGGGGATGTTTTGTTGGAACCCTCGCGGGAAAATTTGGCTTCCATTCCATCCACTGCTTTAAAAGACGCCAACAAAATGCAGGTGGAATCCTACGGCCTTCAGTCGTTTATTTCTCCGACCGATCACGAGCCGCTTGTTGAGCCTCTTTCGGAGGCTGATGGTAACTCCACTGTCGTGGAGGGGGAACAAGGCGAGGGAACAACCAAAGCGGACGAGAACAAGGGGCTCCGGATACCAAAGAATCTTTCATTTGGAACACCTGCTGCCATTATTGGAAAGGACGTGTTTGACACCACAAAGCCCATGCTTCGTGATCTTGCGCGTTCCTTACCTTCGAGGCGGCGTGGCCAAAACGATATACTGGAGGGGGGATGCGTGTCTATCATCACAAACAATCGATTTCAAGGCGTTGTTAAACGTGCTGTGGAAACGCTGAGTGAGACTGCGGCGAACATGTTGCGACGAGTTTACTGGAGAAGATGGCAGTACAAAGTTGCACGAAAGCTTGCAAATAATCTTATAGAGGAAAGGGTCTGGATGCGGACTCGTGGCGGTGCAAGGCTTGTGGACAGCGTCCCGCACACCTTTGATGTACCGAGTCTTGAGGATTATGTCTATGAAAAGCGCGTTTGTACAAGAGAAAGAAATGCTGACTTTTCCGATGATCTGCAGAGGGCATTACGTGAGCTTCTCTACACCGCCAAACACCATTTGGTGGAGGCAAACGATCCAGAGGATACACCATTTATTTTTGACAAGGATCTCTGTCCTGTTCGGGATACAAAAGAACTTGCAGCGGCTCTTTGCTTATTAAAGAACATGATTATTGACTTTTCTGAAACAAAGTCGATAGTTAATTTGCGAGAGCGTGAGCTTTCGAAGTTAAGAGATACGAATGAAGTCTTACGGCGCAGGTTAGGGGAGGCAGAAACTTCACTGTCGCATCTTACCCAGGTGGGGGAGGAAATGGCTATTGTTCAGGCGCAGTGCGACAAGTTGAAGGAAGAACTTGGGCAGGCGGAAGAAGGATGGAAAAATGCCAAGTACCAGTTGCAATTTCTCCAGCGAGAGCTTAAGAAGGAAAGAAATCAGCCCCCTTCCAACGCAGAACAGTTGCTGCAGCGGAAGGATAATGAGGTGGTGTCTTTGCAGCGAGAACTTTCCAAGCTGCGAACAAAGTTACACCGCGAGGTGAAGGAAAAGGAATCGCTGAGATCGCAGCTGAAGGAGGTAAAGGCGGAGGCGGTGTGTGCAGCGCAAAAGTTGGAGAAGTGGGTTTCTTCTGGTGCCTTGGCCAGTCGGGGCCGGTCTGCCGGAGCGTTGGCATCACAACTGAATCTTCCCAGGGGTTTTTTCTCCTCCGGTTTTTTGCAGACGATGAAAACGGAAAAAATACGGGACGAGGAATACTTGCCGCTGGGTGTGGCGGAAGATGCCAGAGAGGTGACGTCACTTGTGGGGAGGACGAGTCAGGATATCGTGCGGGAGAATTTGCGGCTTGAAGTGGAGCTCAGACAAAATGAGGCCGCCCCTGAGGAAATTGAATTTGGAAATTGCCCGCACTGCAGGAGGCGGCTCACATCATGTTCCGCCACGCCCACGGGGCCGCCTGGTAAAAAAGCGGCCTTTTGCTTCAGCTGCAGGCGGTCCTACACCTTTGGCGACCTTACGACACGGGGAAATTTGTCTGCGGTGCCGTTGGTGAAAAGATGGAAAGATCCCTCTCCGAGAAGCTTTGTGAAATATTGACGAAGGAGGGGAAGTAAAATCCATAAGAAAAGGAAGTTAATCCCCTTTTCTTGTTTCGTGGGAATTGCGCAGAATATAATGCGGAGAATTTGATCTTCAATGATTCATACATTCATACATATGCATGAAGGGAAAGATGGGCCAGTGACAAGGAAAAGGGGGGAAAAAAGAAATTGAGTGTGTTCGTCTGGTTCATACATTATTAGTGCAAAGTTTATCGTCTGTTTATTCATTTATTTGTTGTTGTTGTTGTTGTTGTTTTCTTTCGGTGGGGGGGAGAAGGGAAATTTTGTTTTCCTATGTGTGTGTATGTGGATGCATTGTTTTCCGTGTCTGATTTTTGTTGTCTTTGGAATTATTTACTATTTATTACCATTGTTTTATTTTTTTTTCTCTCTTGAAAAGGGTTTGGGCAGCAGGATGACAACGGCGCTGACGAGCAGCAATCGAAGCAACATCCCAGCGGTTTGCCGCATTAGAGGCCGCGGGACGGCAATACTTGTTTCGCCAGGTATTTTGCTAACATCCCGACATGTCGTGAGCTCCCCGGAGGTTGCCGCCCAGCTGACCGCCGTTTTCTTTGAGGGTTCCAAGAAAAAAACAGTGGAAGTGAAACTATTACCGCAAAAACTTTTTTTTGCAGCTTTCTATCCAGCCTACATGGACTACTGTCTTGTGGCATGCGAGGAGTACGGTATATTTAATGTCACACCAGTGAGCCTTCCGCTGACCCAAAATGATTGGTCCCCTGTGAGGGAGGGCGACATCATTCTTGTGGTGCAGCATCCCACATGTAAAGACGATGATGGAGAGGCTGAAACAAACACAGGCGACTCCGATGACGGTGAGGATCCCCCATCTGTAGAAATAAAACGATTTGAGGAGGTGCTGCGATGTAGGAATGATTTGTATTATTTGAAGGCCAACGGGAATTTAAGAACGGCAGGTTGTCCTGCATTCAACGACTGTGGCCAACTGATCGGTATGCAGTCACAGTTGCGCTCTGAAGGAGGAGGCGTTGTGAACCGAGTGGTCTCCATTGCCTCCATCGTGAAACACCTTTTTGCAAACAAACAGTTGCAGCGCATTCAACAAAAAAGCGTATTTGACGATGTATGGAATACATGGTACGTCAAGGATGACATTTCACGAATTTTGCTAATACTAGAGAATTTTTCAGATTGCGAGATTGCCCGTGCCACAGCAGAAAAACTTTGTGAACACACATGTTTCCCAAATCTTATTGAGAGTATTGTGGCATCCGGCGGGGTGGAATGGATTCTTTCCAGTCTACATCAATTTAAGGAGGATATGGCGATGGTTTGCACATGTATCCGTGCAATGTGGAATGTCAGTTTTGGGGAAACAAATGCGCAGCGATTGCTTGTAGACGGGGGTGGTGTCGAGCTTGTTCTTGACTCCATGGAGAGATACCCCGAGAGTGAAGAAATTGCCGAGTTCTCAGTCGTCCTCCTCCATAATCTCTCTACAGGAAGCTGCAGGCCGGACTTTACTGGACCCCTTGGCCACCGAGCACTGTTGCTCGTACACGCCGCCCTGCAGCGCTTTAAGGAGACAATTGTCCTCCAAAAGTTTGGTTTCAGCTTTTTTACCACCCTCCTTTATGTTGATGTTGAATACGCCGAAACGCTTGTGAAGTTGAATATCGTGGAGCACACCGTTTATCTGGCGGAGCGGAAGCAGGACCAAGTCTTTCTCATGGAGGCCCTCATGAATTTCGTTGGGGAGTTGGCGCAGCACAGGAAGGCAATCGACCTCTGTTTTGTGGCTGGCGGACTTGCGTCCAGTGCTGGGCAACACGTCCTTGAAGTTCTCACGTCCCTCCTCATTGACATTATGTTCAAGTATCAGGAGATGGATACCATTTTGTTGCAAGGGAACCGCGCACTGTGGGGAATTGGAAACGACCTGTCATGCCGAGCAATGATTTTGCAAAACCCAAGGAGCTACGAGGCTTTAAGACTCTCTCTGGCGGCACTGATGGCGAGGGCAAGGGTGACGTAGCCGCGGGTATATTTCCAACTTTATTCCCAAGAAAAGATTCAGTGATTGTCCTGTTTGCCTTGTGCGCCTTGGTTCGTATTTCCGTTTTATTGGAGTACGATGATGTATATGAGCTGGTAACAGAAGACGTTAGCTCCGTCTGATGTTGGGTCGTTTGTTCTATAAACTTAATATTATATATATATATATATATATATATATATATTTCTTTGGCAGTCTTTTTTTTTTTTTTGCTTTGTTTTTTTATTTTTTGTGCCTTCAATTCTTTTTTTTTTTTTTTGTTATTCATTCTGCCTATCATCCTAAACTTATTCTTTATACATGTATGCATGCATGTACATCATTATTGAGCTCTGAAGCCGATAAATGGCTTCTCGCGAGGAAAAGAGTTTATTTTCTGATGAAGGGGCTGAAGTTGTCGCCGAAAAGACCCCCACAGAGCCGAGGGATGTGCAACAACGCATGAACGTTGAAAGTCCAATGTGGCTCCAGAGGGAATCTACTCGTGCCAGTGTGCACGAGCCGCACCTGCCCGTAAGTTGCGCATCGGGTTTATCGACATCGTCAAGGTGGCGTTCTGCTGCATCACTGCGAAGTGAAGATAAACAAACCCCGACTCTCTCAGAGTGCAGTCGAACATTAACTCCGGTTCCTGCCACTCATCGTCTGGATGCGGTGAACGTCGCCATAGTGGACTCCAACCCTCGCACGGCGATGTTGCAGCGCTGCGGACACCAGGCAGCAGCCAATTACCATACAAGTTTGGAATTTGTTTCTAATGCAGTGGAGACAAAGAAAGTAGATGCCGCATACGAGAGTGATGAAGATATCGATATCCATTCTTTGGGGGAAAGGCTGACAGATGTGTTAGAGAGTTCTCTTCGCGGTGCGGCGTCCGTATCACAACGGGGAGAGGCAAATAACACATTGGGTCGTGCAGCATTTCATATCTTTAAAGGGAATGTAGGGGCCGGTGTTTTTTTACTGTCCACGTACTACAAAGATGCTGGATACGGCGTTGGTTTCTTGCTTGTATTTTTGTTGGGAGTTCTCATGATTGACTGTGCGTTGGCTCTTGTCAGATCTAAACAAAAGATTGATCTCTTGATTGTTCGAACCTATCCTGCCGTTGTGGGGCATATCCTAGGTAGCACTTTGATGCATTTCACGAATTTTTCACTTATATTTACTCAATTCGGTTTTTGTGTGGTGTATATTCAGTACGCCTCGTCCATGTTTACTGCTTTGTTGAGTGCGACGCAATTTTACCAACTTCTTGTATTTTTAAGCGTTCTAATGGTAATGCCCATGTCACTATTTTCCCATAATATGAGGATGCTGGCGTATGCATCCATGATTGCCGCCGTATTTGTTGCACTCGTTCTTGCAGGCGCCGTCGGAGAGGAATTAGATTATCTTTCAACGCGTGGAGTATCACAAGGGACGGTGTTCTTTGAGCCGACAATGCGCATTCTTGTGTTTATTTCAGGACATATGTTTTCTCTTGAAGGTATTGGTGTCGTACTGCCGGTAGAGAACAGTATGGCCGCTGAGGACCGTCCACAATTTTCTACATTGGTAAAGTACACTTTGGCATCCATTGTCACGATCTATGTTGTATTTGGTTTACTCGGTTATCTTGCGTTTGGAGAAGCATTACAGACGTCAGTGGTGCTTGCGATACCTCCAAGCACAACCAGGACGATGCTGCAGGTACTTTTAGGCTTCAGTCTTATTTTTAGTTATCCGATTCAGTTTTTACCTGCGATCCAGCTTGTCGACAGAGCTTTGGGCATCAGTGTGCATAAAGAGCCATGGAATGCTTACATTGTTCGTGCGGTTCTTAATATTTTTTTTGGCGCACTTGCCGCCTCTATTGGTGCGGACACCATTAATGTGTTTGCAAGTTTTTTGGGGGCGTTCACAGGGGTGCATCTCATGATCACCATGCCGGTCCTTCTTGCTCTGTTTACGGACCGTGTGTTGAACTGTGCGCAGGAGGATGCGGAGATTTCCTTCTGCGACTACGTCAATTTTTTTTTTACTATGCCTGACACCATTGTGGAATGCAGGTGGTACCTTTATCTTTTTATCGCTATGCTCGTATGGATTGGCGGGACATACTACACGTTTGACTCCGTCTTTGGCTAATACAAGTTGGACAGAAATGCAGTAAGAGAGAACGATAGAGAAAGGGAGAGAGAGAGACGCGGCAGCGGGAATACACTCACTTCCTACGGAAGAGGTGATGGCGGGATGTGAAGGATGTTGTTTTAAGAAGAGGAGTGGAGAGAGCCAAAACAGGCGCGTTGTCTCGGGGATGTGCAGGTGGAGTGGAGAAGTTGATATGCACCGCTTATATTTTTGCTTCCGGCGTGCGCTTTGTTGATGCATTTTTTTTTTTTTTTTTTTTAATAGGAAAGGGGATGGGGGGATGCTCAAAGCAGGAGGGGGTGAAGCAACAGCAGCGCAATTGACAGCTCTCCATGTATGGGGGACACGTATGAGGCTCTGAAACTTTTCGGAATTGAGAAATGAATGGAGAAATTACCCACCACAACATATGTATATATATATGATATCAATACGCACTTATTTTTTGTCCACAGGAGGGATGATCTATGAGGGTTATTGAGGAGGAATGTGAGAAAATCAAGAAGGGTTTCCAGCGTATGGAGAGATGTCGTGCCGCAATTATTGATTGGAATCTATTTTTTTTTTGTCGTTGTTTTGTGGTTGTTCTGAACTGAATTTGACTTTTTATTTGTTTCAGTTTCAGTTATTTTTCATTGGTGTGCTTCTTTCTGTGTTTTTTATTTTCGTATGTCGGGCATTTTCTTTTGAGAGGAGTCATGGAGTGAGGTGGCCAAAGCACCACTGCATGTTTTTTTTGTTTGTTGTTGTTGTTGTTGCTGCCGTTGCCCTTTTCTCTTATCAGAAAAGGGCGCGTGCCTTCTTTCCCCCCTTTACGGGATGGCACGGTGCAATTCCCTTCATTTAGGGACTTTTTTGCCTTTTTAAATGTTTGTTCTTTCCTTCCCCGACCTATTCTTTGCTGCGTGCTGAGAGCCTTAAAAAAAAAAAAAAGAGAAAGAAAAAGAAAGGAAACACACAAAACAAACAAAAAAAAAAAAAAAAGGAAAAAAAAAAAAAAATATATACACGCGCCCTCAAGGAATCCCGCACACACAGGAAGGTACACAAGGGGAAAACAAAAATGCCTCCTCCACAGTCACAGCAGGTACTGAAACCAAATAAACTCGTCACCGACGACTTTCAAAGCGATGATAACAGTCTTGTGATGATGAACCCCAAGCGCATGGAGGAGTTGAACATATTTCGTGGAGACACAGTGACGATCAAGGGCAAGAAACATCGTTCCACCATTTGCATAGCCATGGAAGACGAGGAATGCCCCGAAGCGAAGATTAAAATCAACAAAGTAACACGTCGTAACATTCGCTGCCATCTTGGAGATACCGTGCATGTCAGCAGCTGCACAAACGTGCCGTACGGTAACCGTGTTCATATTCTCCCAATCGACGACACCGTGAAGAACCTGACAGGTGACCTCTTTGAGACATTTTTGAAGCCGTACTTTTTGGAGGCCTACCGTCCTGTAAAGAAGGGTGATTTGTTTGTCTGCCGTGGTGCAATGCGCTCGGTAGAATTTAAGGTGGTGGAAGTAGACCCGGGGGAGTTCTGTATTGTCTCCCCAGACACTGTAATTCACTGCGAGGGTGATCCGATCCGCCGTGAAGATGAGGAACGCCTTGATGACGTGGGATATGACGATATCGGTGGCTGCCGAAAGCAGTTGGTGCAAATTCGCGAGATGGTAGAGCTTCCCATTCGTCATCCGGAGCTATTTAAGAACATTGGCATCAAACCACCACGTGGCATCCTTCTGTATGGCCCACCCGGTAGTGGAAAGACACTTATCGCCCGTGCGGTCGCAAATGAAACAGGTGCATTCTTTTTCTTGATTAATGGCCCTGAGATCATGAGCAAAATGGCAGGTGAGTCTGAAGGAAACCTCCGCAAGGCATTTGAGGAAGCGGAGAAGAATGCCCCGTCTATTGTTTTTATTGACGAGATTGACTCCATTGCCCCAAAACGTGAGAAGGCTCAGGGTGAGGTGGAGAAGCGCATCGTGTCCCAGCTCCTGACCCTTATGGACGGATTGAAGACACGCTCTCAAGTTATTGTAATGGCGGCAACAAATCGACCAAATTCCATTGACCCCGCACTCCGTCGCTTTGGTCGTTTTGATCGTGAGATCGACATTGGTGTACCAGATGACATTGGACGTCTGGAAATTCTTCGCATTCACACCAAAAATATGAAACTTGACCCCGGTGTTGATGTGGAAAAGATAGCAAAAGACAGTCATGGCTATGTGGGTGCGGATCTTGCACAACTCTGCACTGAAGCTGCCATGCAATGTGTCCGGGAGAAGATGTCTGTTATTGACTGGGATGATGATACGATTGATGCTGAGGTGCTCGACTCCATGGCGGTTACAAACGAACACTTCCGTGATGCCTTAACAAAGACCAACCCCTCTGCCCTTCGTGAGACGCATGTGGAAACACCTCATGTTACATGGAGCGATGTGGGTGGTCTTTTGGATGTCAAGAGAGAATTGCAGGAGCTGGTGCAATACCCTGTGGAATTCCCGTGGAAGTTTGAAAAGTATGGTATGTCACCACCAAAGGGAGTTCTCTTTTATGGTCCCCCCGGTTGTGGCAAGACACTTCTGGCGAAGGCGATTGCCACCGAGTGTCAGGCAAACTTTATATCCATTAAGGGACCAGAATTGTTAACGATGTGGTTCGGGGAATCGGAGGCAAATGTACGTGATGTTTTTGACAAGGCACGCGCAGCCGCTCCTTGTGTGCTCTTTTTTGATGAATTGGATTCAGTGGCGAGGGCACGTGGAAGCCATGGTGACGGGGGCGCCAGTGATCGTGTGATTAACCAAATTCTCACAGAAATGGATGGTATGAATTCAAAGAAAAACGTCTTTATTATTGGAGCAACAAACCGTCCTGATGTCTTGGATCCCGCTATTATGCGTCCAGGTCGACTGGATCAACTCATCTACATTCCGCTGCCAGATAAGGCGTCGCGTGTGGCTATTATCAAGGCCAATTTCCGTAAGTCGCCTCTTTCTGCAGATGTGGATGTCGACAAAATTGCGGCTGCAACTCATGGCTTCTCTGGCGCTGACCTTGCGGGTATTTGCCAACGGGCTTGCAAGATGGCAATTCGTGAATCGATTGTGAAAGAGATTCAAATTGAGCAGATGAAACGAGATGGTACTCTTGACAGTGACCAAGACATTGACCCCGTCCCTGAGATTACACGTCTTCACGTAGAAGAAGCCATGCGTGGGGCACGTCGTTCTGTCAGCGATGCCGACATTCGGAAGTATGAGCTGTTTGCCACCTCAATTCATCAGTCGCGTGCACTTGGCGACAACCCCATTGCCGGTGCCGACGGTGGCGGCGGAGGTGCAGGCAACGCCGGTGATGATGACCTCTACAGCTAAGCCGTTGACGCCTGGCGTTGGATAAGCGTTACACTTGTTCGCACGGCGAGGGGAGGAAAAGTTGAGGAAGGCGTGTAACACCAGGTGGGATGCAAAACTCATGAAAAGTGAGGAGGAACAACGAAGGGCCAAATACAGAGAAATAAGGAAAGCGAAAGGAAATGGGAAACATAAAAGAACAGAAGCTGATAGAGTGAGGGGAAGACGTGCAACGTACTTTTCCCATTTATTATTTTTTTCTCCTCTCACCTCTCCGCTCCCTGTTTCTATCTCCCTCCTCTTCTCCCCCTCTCCTTATCTCCTTATTCCAACTGGGAGGATTTTTTGGCCGTGTGCCGTTATGCTTGCGGATGGGCGTGGAGTTCAGCGAGACTGGGAAGGGGGCCCGGGAGGTGGAAAAGGGATGTGAGCGGTTAAAGTCGTGGGCAAAAGGAATAGAAGAATCCACTCTGTTTTGTTTCTTTTTACCATAATTCATCTCAGCGTTCATCTTTTGAGGAGGGAGAGAACACATAATTGACAGGCGAAATGAATGAAAGGGGGAAAGAGGAGGAAAACAAAACGAAAGCGAGAGAGAGAGGGAGAGAAGGGGAAGGGAATCTTTTTGTTTAAGATGTCATTTATATTTTGGGGAGAAAAGAAAGGGAAAGGAAATAAAAGGAAAGAAGAAGCATAAGAACGGAAAAAAAAAAAAAAAGAGAGAGAGAGAGAGAGAGAGAGAAAGAAACGCCACCTCCAAACTCCAAACTTTTTTTTCGTTTGCTGAGTACTTTATTATTAATATTATTATTATTTGTGTATGATATTTCTACTGATTGATGAGCGGCTTTGCGACTTTTTGTGCATGGGAAACTTGGGGAAGCGGGAGCCAATATGTTTCTGAGTATGTTTGTTCTTTACACGAACGTAAAGAAACGGCCCTTTCTTACGATGAATAAATCATTGGTCGCATGATTATCGTCTCTCTCTGTGTGTTTGTGTTTGCGCTTGCGTTTGTAAGTGTGTATGCGTGTGTGTGTGTGTGTGTGTGTGTGTTTGTGTGTCCAACACCTGTTTCTTCAACAGCATCTTTTGGTTTTTGTTGTTTTTTTACTCATTATGACTTTTTATTTATTCTTTATTTGTCTTCCCTTTCTCTCTCTCTGTGTGTGTGTGTGTGTGTAATAACGTATGTGTGCGTCATGCATGTAGCTTTTTCCATTGTGCCGTTTAGGACTACTGCGCCAAACGTGATTCTGGGTCCACAGGGCTTGCTCTTAGTTTTATTTTGCTTGTACTGCTCAAGACAGCAAATGAATTTGTTGATCTTCGGTGCCCCCGGCTGCGGAAAGGGTTCGGTGAGCGAGGCTCTTGAACGGGACTTTGGCCTGCTTCACATTAGTGCCGGTGAGCTCATGCGGGAGGAGGTGGAGAAGGGGACCCCCGTGGGACGACGGGTGGCAGCCCTCATGAACGAGGGTAGCCTTATCCCGGACAAGGTGATTGTAGATATCATGGTGAAGCGACTTCGGGAGCCGGATGCCAGGGAGAAGGGTGTCGTTCTCGACGGGTTTCCGCGCACATTGTCTCAGGCTCAAGCACTCACAGCAAATGGATTTGAGATCGATGCAATGGTTTTCATTAATGTGGATGTGAAGCTACTGGAGGAGCGTTGTCTGCAGCGTCGGATGGATCCTGTTACGGGGCGCATTTATAACCTGAAGAGCGATCCACCACCAGAGTCCATCATGGGCCGCCTCCTCATCCGCTCCGATGACACGCTTGAAAAGCACCAGCGAAGGATGAGGATTTACCGCGAACAGAAGTCGGCTCTCATGAAGCACTATGAAAAGCTGATAATAGAGGTGGATGGTAATCCTCCACTTCCCGTGGTGTACGCGGCGCTACACGCGAAAATTGATCAGTTACGAAAAGCGAAGCGAAAATGTAAACTCTGAGGGCGGCGCACAGCGAAGAAGGAGGAGGGGAAACCGGAAAAGGGGGGATTGCTGTGTGGAAGCAAAGAATAAGAGGCAAAACGAAACGAATGGCGTCAAAATTGTTGGGAAAAATGAAAGGATATCCCTTGAAGGTTTCAGATGATGGGAGGGAAATCGTTTTTGTACGTTTATTTGTGTGTGTGTGTGTGTGTGTTTGTGAATAGGGGGGAGAAAAAAGGGATCCCGCCTCTTTTTTTTTTTTTTTTTTTTCTTTTTCTATTAGGTCCTGTGTCTACCGCTGTTATTCCTGTTATATATATATATATATCTTTTTTTTTCTTTTTCGTTTATTATTGTTATTCACTCCTCTTGGTTTTTTTTTTTTTTTTTTGGTGTTTTTGGAGTCATTCCAGCAAAGAAAACCATGTATATGTATATATATACTATGTACCCTGATCCATATGACACACCTGCGTCGATGCATACACATGCACGGTTCGCTCTACTCGATAGTAAACTCCATCCCGCATACCCGCATATGTGACTACAAAAGGAAAGAATGAAAGAAAAAAAAAATAAAATAAAATAAAAAACAACAACAAAAAATGTGCCCTTCTGCTTTAGGGAAATGAAGACGGAAACCTGCGGGGGGTGGGATGGAAAAATCGATTGAGACAAGAAAAACAAACAAACAAAAACAACAACAAAAGAAATTAAATAAATAAAAAAGAAAACGGGAAACATAACGGAATTTACGGTATGGATGAGCGAAAACGAAAAATAAAAATTAAACGAGGACGAGAAGAAGGAGGGGAGGGGCGATGTAAGATATGTTTGGATGATTGTGCCGTGAGGGGAGGGAGGAAGACAGTGTGAGGAGAAACATGATTTTCATTGAAGAAAAACATCTTATATCACATATCTACGATATGAGATTCCAGAAGAAAAATATGTAGAGAGAATTTTTTTTTTTTTTTTCTGGAATCGACGTTTGGGATTTGCTGTTGTTTCTTCTTCTCTTCTTTTTCTTCTGGATTCACAGTGTCGACTTGTTGTCTTTTTCTCTGTGCATTTATCATTGAGAAGATACGTGCGCTTACGGCAAACTGTGATGTCTCGTATCTGCTGCATTTCTGCTGCACTTTTGTATTTTTCTTGAAAGTAGAATCTGAGACATGTGAGTCTATCCTGAAATAGACTGCCTTGTGCACTTGTGTTTTTCTACCCGGCTTGTTTGGTTTTTTCCGCATTACGTGGGTGTACCACATTTATCTATATCGATGGATGAATTTACGCGCATGTATTTGCGTCTGCCATTTCAACGCTGCAACACCTTTTTTTTTTTTTTTTTTTTGAGTCCTCTGGTTGAGACACGCCCTCTTTTTTGGTGTTGTTCCCAGAGGCCTGTGAAGGGAATGTGCGACGGGACGGAGCCATTTGGATGACGGCATGTCTTGTTGAATTGCCCGGATTCTTTACCCATGGCTTGATTATTGTTTCCAGCGATGGTACTGCATTGGGGTGCAGCGAGTGCAACTTTTTTTTGTTCGGTTTTTTTTTTTTTTCTGTCGTCCCGCTTACCCCCCGCTACTGCTACCACTAGTGGTCGTAGCGGCGCCCCCCGCACAGGGGAGGGGCCCGGCTGTTGCGGGACCCCGATGGCTGTCACTTTTTGAGGTTGCGACGAGAGCCCGGTCGTCGTGGATTGATTTGTGAACGAATTTTTTTATTGGCCCACGTGGGCGTTGGATAGAGCGTTTCCGATGTGTGGGGATGTTGGGTGTACGGGGCCAAACTGTTTGTACTCTTCATTGCCACGCCCTCCCTATTTGAGGCAGGGGGGAAGAGCAATGACTCATACAAGCGCTGGCTCGACGGTATTTATTTGAGAGATTGGGCATCTCTCCGTATATTGTGCTTTTTTTTTTTTTTTTCTGAGTTGTCTGTGGGCGCGTTCCCATTTTCTACTCTTTGGGGAGGTGTGTTTGTGTGTTGTAATGAACTTCCGTGTAGTTGAGGTCGCGGAGCGCCCCCGCAGACGTCGAGGAAAGCAGGATAGGCTCGGAGAAGGGGCGAGAACAGTGAAGTGGGTCCGGGCGTGGGGGGAAGACGTCATTCCGTGCAATGGCTTATCGTCCAGCGCTTTTCTCAGTTCATGGAGGAGGTCCGCAACCTCTGACCGGCGAAGCGGTTAACGCAGCGGTTGCTGAGGCCCTCAAAAAACACCGAGGAAATGTTTAGAGTCGTGCTGGGCTTCCCAAAACCATTACCGCCGCACCAGCGCACCATGAAACCGTCGCCCCCCCCCCCCCAACGGTTGGAAGAACTGCCCGACCCCAGACGCAGCACGGGCACCGAGGACCGCCCACTGAACCCTGCAATTCACATGGCTCAGCGCCGGGAGAACCATCCCACGCACGTGGGTTGGTGACGGCATTGCGATTGCGGCGGCCTTTTTCGGGGGCGGGGTGGGGCGCCCCCTCGAGCATGCGGCGCCCGCTCCTCTGATGATTTTGTTTCCAGAGGCCAAGGCGCCCGTTTCATCAATACCTGTTCCTTGGGGCGGAGATTCGGCCGCACCAATTCTGACGGGAGGGGGTCTAGGGCCATTCCGATCCCGCGGCGTCTTTTAATTTTTGGCGGTTGGGACGCTATGCGAAGCTTTTTGCAACTTCATGGGGAAGGGTTCGGTGATGCGTTGGGTGCCGTTCTTTGCGCGGGTGACCGCGATTGGCGGGTTTGCCGGGGCTCAGCCCCATGGTGCGCGTAAAGTCCCTGCGCCGCCCCGGGCTCTCTTTCGGACCGCGAGCGGCACACAGGCCGGGAGGGTCGCAGTGTAACCCGGAAAGAAGGCCACGCCCTTCACGACTTGTTCCCCCAAGTGCCGAGATTACTTTTTTTTTTGTATTTCCTTGTTGCGTTTGCATGTTATCCATGTCATCCATGTTTCCTTTTTTTTTTTTTTTTTTCGTGTTAGGAATTTTTAAACGGGTTATTGGCGGGAATTTTTTGTGTGTCAATTTTTTTCTCTTTCTGTATGTGTTTGCGGCTTCTTGTGGCGACTTAAAAAAACAAAACGCGGATACACTGGGAAAGGGGATGGGTACATTGGGAAGAAGGAGAGAGAGAGAAGGCGCACCCCTCCTTTATTCTCTCTATATACTTTGCGTGAGTGGTTGCCTGCTTTGGGTTTCAAGAGGCGGAAAGTGACAGCGCATTATTGACACACAACTGCCTGGTGGAGTGCATTTTGTCTCTTCTTTCTTCTTCACTCTTTCTTCTGCGAAGCCGTTTGAAGGTTTGTAGTGGCATTTTTAGTAGTTCTTTTTTGCTTTGGATTGATTAGCGTTTTTTGTTTTTTTTTTTCTGGCCGCCAGATTCATGACAGGACGGAAGGGAATGGGGGAAAATAGGTCTGTTGCGCTACCTCTTCCGCCTCGGATTGACCCGTCGGAAGAACATTACCCTTTCTGCATTGTATGGACACCCATTCCTGTTCTTTCATGGATTTTTCCTTTTATTGGGCATGTAGGAATTTGCGACTCTGCTGGACGTATTCATGACTTTGAGGGTCCGTATCATATTGGCGTGGATAAAATGCTTTTTGGCAACCCGGCAAAATATTGGAATATTTCTAGAATGTATGTTCCAACGTTTTACTGTCCTCAGGGCGAGAACCCGCGAACGACGGAGGAGACGTGTCGACGGGAAGTGGAGGAATACGACGCCGCAGTGGAACGCGTTACGAAGCATTTTAGGAAAACCCAGTTGTACAACCTTTTTACAAATAACTGCCACTCTTATGTGGCCTGCGTGCTGAGGGACCATCCTCTCACCGCCGCGGGTTCGTTTAGTGTGTTTCAAGTCGCCTGGGGGCTTCTCATCCACGGTCGTTATGTGTCCGCCGGTCGTTTTTTTAGGGCACACTTTCCCTTTTTCCTTTTGGTGGTCGCAGTCGTTCTTTTTTGTGCGACACTTACTTGAAAAGGGTTCGTTGAGATACTCCTTCTTTTTGGTTTTGTTCCCAGAGGCCTGTGTAGGGAATGTGCGACGGGACGGAGCCATTTGGATGATGGCATGTCTTGTTGAATTGCCCGGATTCTTTATCCATGGCTTGATTATTTTTTCCAGCGATGGTACTGCATTGGGGTGCGGCGAGTGCAACCTGTTTTTTTTTTTTTCTTTCTTTTCTGTCGCCCCGCTTACCCCCCGCTACTGCTACCACTAGTGGTCGTAGCGGCGCCCCCCGCACAGGGGAGGGGCCCGGCTGTTGCGGGACCCCGATGGCTGTCACTTTTTGAGGTTGCGACGAGAGCCCGGTCGTCGTGGATTGATTTGTGAACGAATTTTTTTATTGGCCTACGTGGGCGTTGGATAGAGCGTTTCCGATGTGTGGGGATGTTGGGTGTACGGGGCCAAACTGTTTGTACTCTTCATTGCCACGCCCTCCCTATTTGAGGCAGGGGGGAAGAGCAATGACTCATACAAGCGCTGGCTCGACGGTATTTATTTGAGAGATTGGGCATCTCTCCGTATATTGTGCTTTTTTTTTTTTTTTTCTGAGTTGTCTGTGGGCGCGTTCCCATTTTCTACTCTTTGGGGAGGTGTGTTTGTGTGTTGTAATGAACTTCCGTGTAGTTGAGGTCGCGGAGCGCCCCCGCAGACGTCGAGGAAAGCAGGATAGGCTCGGAGAAGGGGCGAGAACAGTGAAGTGGGTCCGGGCGTGGGGGGAAGACGTCATTCCGTGCAATGGCTTATCGTCCAGCGCTTTTCTCAGTTCATGGAGGAGGTCCGCAACCTCTGACCGGCGAAGCGGTTAACGCAGCGGTTGCTGAGGCCCTCAAAAAACACCGAGGAAATGTTTAGAGTCGTGCTGGGCTTCCCAAAACCATTACCGCCGCACCAGCGCACCATGAAACCGTCGCCCCCCCCCCCCCAACGGTTTGGAAGAACTGCCCGACCCCAGACGCAGCACGGGCACCGAGGACCGCCCACTGAACCCTGCAATTCACATGGCTCAGCGCCGGGAGAACCATCCCACGCACGTGGGTTGGTGACGGCATTGCGATTGCGGCGGCCTTTTTCGGGGGCGGGGTGGGGCGCCCCCTCGAGCATGCGGCGCCCGCTCCTCTGATGATTTTGTTTCCAGAGGCCAAGGCGCCCGTTTCATCAATACCTGTTCCTTGGGGCGGAGATTCGGCCGCACCAATTCTGACGGGAGGGGGTCTAGGGCCATTCCGATCCCGCGGCGTCTTTTAATTTTTGGCGGTTGGGACGCTATGCGAAGCTTTTTGCAACTTCATGGGGAAGGGTTCGGTGATGCGTTGGGTGCCGTTCTTTGCGCGGGTGACCGCGATTGGCGGGTTTGCCGGGGCTCAGCCCCATGGTGCGCGTAAAGTCCCTGCGCCGCCCCGGGCTCTCTTTCGGACCGCGAGCGGCACACAGGCCGGGAGGGTCGCAGTGTAACCCGGAAAGAAGGCCACGCCCTTCACGACTTGTTCCCCCAAGTGCCGAGATTACTTTTTTTTTTGTATTTCCTTGTTGCGTTTGCATGTTATCCATGTCATCCATGTTTCCTTTTTTTTTTTTTTTTTTCGTGTTAGGAATTTTTAAACGGGTTATTGGCGGGAATTTTTTGTGTGTCAATTTTTTTCTCTTTCTGTATGTGTTTGCGGCTTCTTGTGGCAACTTAAAAAAACAAAACGGATACACTGGGAAAGGGGATGGGCGCACTGGGAAGGAGAGAGAGAAAGGCGCACCCCTCCTTTATTCTCTCTATATA